CATCATGAGACCACACGTCAAACATATCGCACCCCCTAACACTCCCCCACACTGGCCTAGCCCTTTGCCCCATTCTTTAAATCCTTAAAAGACACAAATCCTAAGCTTTCAGGGTGCCACCTCTCAGGTTGTTTGCATTTCCCTTTTTTCAAGTGCATACTTTTTGCCTTAAATAAAGACTTCTCACTGTTCAACTTACTGCATTTTGTCTCTGTCCTCTTCTAGTGGTGTCTTTGTTGCTTTGCTATTTCATCCAATCTTCTAGACATAAGCACAGTCTTCACTCTGTCCTACTTCAGACAAGTAGGGAGGGGCTACCAAGATCTCTGATACAGGCTTGCAAGTTCCCGTCTTCTGGGTGACCTGGACAGGGCTGCAGCTGTACAATCAAGCTCTTCAGTGGCCTGCCTGAAAACCTCCTTTCTTTGCTTTGGGAAGTTTTCAGAACATAATCTCTCTCCATCCAGTGCTCTGCAGCTCCCCCAAATCCTGGGTGGGAGGGACTTAGTTCCCATGCTGTGCAGATCCAAGCGGACCCTGGACACCAGGTGACCCAGGCTTTAAGAGTTGGCAAGGGATCTGCCCTCTGCCAAGCTGGCATTCAGTGAGCTTCCCTTTCCTCCTTCTGCTGTTCTTTGCTCTCAGATGCCATTCCCTGCTGCTTCCGCTTTAATGAATCCTGCATTACCTACATTTGTCTGACCTACTCCAGAATTCTTTCTTGTTCAGAGACAAGAAACCTCCTGTTTAGGCTGAGGTTTCTCACCTAGGGCACAGGGAGAGACCTCCTCAGATGCAGCTGCCTGACAACAATATTGTGATTTATAATAAGAAATGTGTATTTGGTCTTCATTCCTGTTTCTGGCACAGAACTCCTAAAACCCCTGTAATTTCCTAAACGATGAAAGCAAAAAAGGTGTCTTTCGTTATGTTAATGAGGTGACTTCTGGACTACACCTAAGGATGGGGGCTGGTTGCCACAGGAACCAAGCAAGTAACTAGAGGACTGAACTTTCAGGCTCACCCTGTGACCTCCAGGGAGGAGAGGGAGGCTGGAGGTTGATTTAATCTCTAATGGCCAATGATTTAGTCAATCAGATCTATAAAATTAAGTCTCAATAAAAACCCAAAAGGACAGGGTTGAAAGCTTCCATGTTGGTGAATACATGGACATTCCAGGAGACTGCCTAAGAAAAAACATGAAAGCTCCACACCCTTTCCCCACAGCTTGCCCTCTGCATCTCTTCTGTATGGTTAACCTGAATTATATCCTTTTACAGAAACCTTGTAATATAGTAAGTAAAATGTTTCTCTGAGTTCTGTGAGTCACTCTAGCCACAAATTAATCAAACCCAAGGAGGGGGTCATGGGAAACCCTGATTTATAGCAAGTTGCTCAGAAGTACAGGTAAAAACCTAGACTTGTGACTGGCATCTGAAGTCCAAGGAGGAGGGTTAACCTCCAATATGTCACCGGTCCATCAGAAACTCAGGCAACAACCTGGGCTTGTGACTGGTGTCCTAAGTGGAGGGTGCTCTTGTGAGACTAATCCCTGTACCTATGGGACCTGATACTATCTCCAGGTAGACAGTGTCAGAACTGAGTTGAATTCTAGGACACCCAGCTGCTGTTTGTTGGAGGGATGAGGAAAAACCCCTCTCCTCAATGTACTTTGAAACTGGATCCAGGAACCTAATTAGACCTAAATCAGACCTAACTATACTTAAGGATTGGTTGAGTGATCAGATATTATGGGTGGGGGACTCTCTCCAAACTGGCTTAGAATTCTTGCTAAAACCGTAGTCCCCAAGGATGAAGCCCAAGGTCAAGGCCAAGTTGAGGAGGGCTCGGAGGAGGCTAACTAAGGCTTGATCAGGGGAGTGTCTGTCACTACAAACACTTGCACATGAATGCTTCTAGCAGCTGAACAGTCCAGATGTCCACGAGCAGGTGAATGGGTGGGTATATTTGGCACACCATCCAGAGGAACACTACTTGGCAATAAAGAAGGACCAAGCTATTGATACACTCAACAATAGGGCTGAATCTCATAATAATTATGCTGAGTCAAAGAAACCAGGCCAAATAAATCCATCCCCTTTACTCCTGAGTGACTCAAAACTCTAGAAAATGTTACAATCTATAATAACAGTAACTGGATCAGTAGTTGCATAGGCAGCAGGGGCAAGGATGAAATTATAAAGCGGTGAGCAAAAAATTTTGGGTTGGTGGGTATTTTCACTCTTGGTTGTGGTGGTTGTTTCACAGGTGCATGCATATGAAAACTTTCAAATTGTACACTTTAAATATGTGTACTTTATTGCATGTCAATTATTCCTCCATTAAAGATTCTTTTTTAAAAAGTAATAGTTCCCAGTTTCAATGGGGCTCTCAACAATGTGCTTTAGTCTTGTGTTTCCCTAATTCTTCCATTGGCCCAAACTTCTATTTCAAACTATTTCTACTTTCCTTCAGCCTCTTACCCTACATTCCTTCCCTCTCTCCACTTCCCTCTCTCCTACTGCCTACCCACCCTGTCTCTGCAGATTATCCATCGAATTACTTCTAGCCTCAGCCTTCGAAAATCTGTTCTCCACTGCTGGAGTCAGAAAATACTTTATGCAAGAACATATGATGCCATCTCCTGTTCACAATCCTTTATGGACTCCCCTCAGGAAAAAATCCAAGTTGTTTAATATGGATTCCAAGGGCCTTTAAAATCTTGGCCTTTATTTAACCTTCACAATCTCTTCCCCAGCTTCCTCCTTACCACCCAGATCCCCACCCTCACCCCAGGGTCACACTGAAAAGGCCTCGCTACACTGAACCACTATACGTCCTTAAAGCTGTGCCTGTTTCTTCCTTTTCTTCTCTACCTCTTCCTCTCCTACCCTTTCTGTCTGTTCCCACTCCCCTTCTTTCTGGCCCTTTCCCTCTCCTCCTTTCTCTTTTTCTGCTCATCTCCTCTCTACTTCCAGCCCCCAACCCCACAGCTCTTAGTTTTTTGGTTTTTTTTTTTTTAGGAGAGCAAGACAGAGGGTTTTATTTATGGAGAAAGTGAAAGGACAGAGCTCCTGGTTCACTCCAGGAGGGGACAGGAGAGCCGAGCCCCAGGGTGGTGCATTGTCTAAGTTTTGTGTTTTTTTTGGTATCATTAATCTACAATTACATGAGCAACATTATGCTTACTAGACTCCCCCCATTATCAAGTCCCCACCACATACCCCATTACAGTCACTGTCCATCAGTGTAGTAAGATGCTATAGAGTCACTACTTGTCTTCTCTGTGTTTACTGCCTTCCCTGTGCCCCCCCACACCTACATTATGTGTGCTAATCATAATGCCCCTTTTTTTCCCCTTATCCTTCCCTTCCCACTCATCCTTCCCAGTCCCTTTCCCTTTGGCAACTGTTAGTCCATTCTTGGGTTCTGCAAGTCTCCTGCTGTTTTGTTCCTTTAGGTTTTTCTTTTTTCTTATACTCCACAGATGAGTGAAATCATTTGATACTTGTCTTTCTCTGCCTGGCTTATTTCACTGAGCATAATACCCTCTATCTCCATCCATGTTGTTGCAAATGGTAGGATTTGTTTTCTTCTTATGGCTGATAATATTCCATTATGTATATGTACCACAGCTTCTTTATCCATTCATCTACTGATGGACACTTAGGTTGCTTCCATATTTTGGCTATTGTAAATAGTGCTGCGATAAACTTGGGGGTGCATATGTCTTTTTCAAACTGGGATCCTGCATTCTTAAATTCCTAGAAGTGGGAATCCTGGGTCAAATGGTATTTCTATTTTGAGTTTTATGAGGAACCTCTATACTGTTTTCCACAATGGTTGAACTAGTTTACATTCCCACCAGCAGTGTAGGAGGGGTCCCCTTTCTTCACATCCTCACCAACATTTGTTGTTGTTTGTCTTTTGGATAGTGGCCATCCTAACTGGTGTGAGGTGATATCTCATTGTGGTTTTAATTTGCATTTCTCTGATGATTAGCGATGTGGAGCATCTTTTCATGTGTCTGTTGGCCATCTGAATTTCTTCTTTGGAGAATTGTCTCTTCATATCCTCTGCCCATTTTTTAATTGGATTATTTGCTTTTTGTTTGTTGAGGTGCATGGGCTGATTTATATATTTTGGATGTCAACCCCTTATTGGGTATGTCATTTATGAATATATTCTCCCATACTGTAAGATGCCTTTTTGTTCTATTGATGGTGTCCTTTGCTGTACAGAAGCTTTTCAGCTTGATATAGTCCCACTTGTTCATTTTTGCTTTTGTTTCCCTTGCCTGGGGAAATATGTTCATGAAGAAGTTGCTCACGTTTATGTCCAAGAGATTTTTGCCTATGTTTTTTCCTAAGAGTTTTATAGTTTCATGACTTGTGTTCAGGTCTTTGATCCATTTCTAATTCACTTTTGTGTATGGGGTTAGACAATGATCCAGTTTCATTCTCGTTGTCCAGTTTTGCCAACACCAGCTGTTGAAGAGGCTGTCATTTCCCCATTGTGATGTCCATGGCTCCTTTATTGTATATTAATTGACCATATGTTTGGGTTAATATCTGGACTCTCTATTCTGTTCCACTGGTCTGTGGGTCTGTTCTTGTGCCAGTACCAAATTGTCCTGATTACCCACAGCTCTTAGTTTTATATCTTCTTTATTAATGGAGCACAGTATTTTCATATATGCATCTTAACATAATGAGATTGGTAACCAAAATTTATATATACCAAACTGAGTTTTTAATCAGTATTAGGATAATACTGATTCCTTGAGCTGTTGAACACCCTCAAGTCCTTACCATGTAAAGTGTTTTGGCTGTGGAAGCCTAAGACCCTTTATTTGGAATTGTAACTGATTGCTAACGTCCCATGTAGGTGATGTTACTTTCAACTGAGTTACAGATTTCTTAAAGTATCTCATATACAGAGTATCTAATATAATAGTAATTATTTCTTTTAGCAATTGAAGAAAATAATGAAAATACTACCTCATTTGAAGAATTTTCTTGCAAACTTGACACAGGAACAATTTCATTTGAATTAACATAATTGCTGACATGTGGAAATAGCTCTTCAAAAGACGCTTTTTGCACTGAGGACAAATCAATCTATAAAAGAAGATTATAATACTCTTTAGCTTGAAAGTAATGTTTTAAAGAGGAAATTTTATTTGCTATAGTATCACTTAATTTTTCCCTGTTTATTTATCTAAATCTAATTAATTTGTCAAGTGCCTACTAAATGAAATTCACCTACCCAGCTACCACACGCCCTGGAAAAATTTGCCTGCTCTTTTCCTTAAATGTCAGCTTTCCCCAGTAATATGCCCTTGACCTCTTCTTGCCTATCAATAACTACCAGAGACTTCAAAATCTCTAACATAGAGCACTTCTTGAGTATCACATCCATATTGCTATTAGGTTGTTGAAATCACCACATATTTCTACATCAAACTCAACATATTTAAAACCAAATTCATGATCCACACTCTTCAGGCTGGGACTCCAAGAAGCTTTGTCATGTTGGCCAGCTAGATCTGACCAGAGTAATCTGGCCTGATCCTAGGCTAGAATACACATGTGCATGGGTGCCCAGAAAGTTTTATTAGCTCTACTGGATAAGAAGCGGTGGGTGTCCACCACTGCCTAACTGGTCCCCTTCTTAGGAGGACAGGACAACTTCATGCCTATCTATGTGTATCTTATAACAATGCTAAGAAGGCCACATTAAAGTGAGACCATGGAAAATAAAATTCTCCCAAAGTCCTTGAGCCAACTAGCCTTCTATAGCCTTCTATGCCAGTCAAAGACTGATAGCTTGTAATTGGGGTAGATCTACATGCCTCATTTGGTGGCAGCAAGCTGTAGAATGACCCAAAGGGTGATTACTCTCAGACTCATTTGGTGGAAAAAGTGTAGACCTTAAAACATCAAGCCATTAAATATTCTCAAAAGTATTTTTATTTATTAAAAGACACCAGTATTCACCCACAGAATGGGAGAAAATATTTGTAAATCACTTATCTTATAAAGATCTAGTATCTAGATTATATAAAGAAAAACTCAACAATAAAAAAGACAACCTAATTTAAAAATAGGTAAAAGGATCTGAGTAGACATTTCTCTAAAAAAGATACACAAATGGCCACTAGGCTCAAGTGTAAAATCGCAATGAGATACCACTTCAAACCCAAAAAGATGGATTATAATAAGTGTTGGTGAGAATATGGACAAATAAGATCACTCATATGCTGCTAGGAATGTGTAAAAGGTCCAAACCACTTTGGAAAATAGTCTAGCAGTTCTTCTAATGAATAAACATAGAATTGCTATATAACCCAGCAATTTTACTCCTAGGTATATACTCTAGAGAAATGAAAACATACATTCAAACAAAGGCTTATACTAAAATGTTTATAGCAACATTATTAATAAAGGCCGGAAGGTGGAAATAACCAAAATGATCATCAACATAATGGAATATTATTCAGCCATGAATAGGAAAGAAAATGAATATATGTTACAATATGAATGAACTTTGAAAATTTATGCTAAATGAAAGGAGCCACTTATAAAAGACTACATATTACATTAGTCATTCATATAAAATGTCCAGGACAGGGAAATCCACAGAGATGGAAAGTAGATTAGGGGTTGTTTAGGGTTAGAAAGTGGGATTGAGGCATAAAGTGGTAATAACTAAAGAGCATGGGGTTTCTTTTTGAGCTGATAAAAATAATTCTAAGTTTACTGTGGTGATGATTCCATATATCTGTAAATATACTAAAGCCCACTAATTTTATACTCTAATAGGTGTATTTTGTGATATGTGAATTATACCTCAAAAAAGCTGTTTTGAAAAATCCCACTATAAAAAAATGTTCAACATATAGTTACCATGTGACTCAGCAATTCTACTTTCACTTCCAAGTATATACCCAAGAAAACAAAACATATTCACACAAAAACCTGTACATGAACATTTATAGCAATATTATTCATCCAAATGCCCATAAACTGATGAATTAGTGGTCTATTCTTACAATGGATATTACTCGGCCATAAATAAGAAACAATGTACATGCTATAATGTGGATGAACTTTGACAACATTATCCTAAGTGAAAGAAGCCAGACACAAAAGGCCACATATTGTATGAGTCCACTTAGGAGAAATAGCCAAGATGAGCAAACCTATATAGACAGAAAACAGACTTGTAATTCCTAGGAGCTAGAGGGTGAGATGGAGGGACTGTGACAGCTCATGGAATGATGAAAAATGCTTTTAAATTGTGGGGATTGGTGCATAACCTTATGACTATACAAAAACCGCTAAACTCACACTTCAGCATGTTTAATTTTATAAAATGTGAATTATAGCTCAATTTTAAAAAGATGTTGGAATTTATAAATTAGTCATTAAATTAGTTTTGCTGGGGAAAAAACTCATTTTGGACATTTATCCCTCATCTATACATTTTAACCCCAAATAGCAAACAAAAATATAGAAAATGAAACACTTTCTAGAAAACTATTAATCTTTAGAACACCGGAAAGATTGTGAGCAGAGTGTTAGCAGAAACCTTTTCTCCAGCTTAAAAACTGATCTTTGATTAACTCTCTAGCTCTGTTCCACCAGAAAACAACAAAAGTGAGAATATCGACTGTATAACTAGGCAACATTGCTTATGGTAAAAACAATGTCTGATTGGTTAATTGTATCTGGACTGGGAAGACGTATACGTGCACTATTAATAAATGCATTATAAATAAATACTGTAAAAGATACCATGCTCTGGGTTTCCCTGCCTCTTGTAATTAGGCATTTTGATTAGGCACTGTAGGGACCCTGGAAGCTATGTCTATGTGTTAATGCAAAAGATACTAGACCTCACCTCCTTGTACCTGAGCTGTCCCCAGACTGTATGTAAGCTGCTGCATGTGTTCTGTGAGGAATGCTTTCACTGAAGTGAAACACCTGATTCTGCCCTACTTGCAAAATGTATTCCCATTGTTTCGCTGAACTTAAGAAGAAATCTGGTTGGGTAAGAGCTAAAGACTCTTAGGGAAAAACAGAGCGGGTAAAGTTCATGATGTTGGATTTCACAATCATTTCTTGGCTATGACACCAAAGCACAGGCAAAGAAAAAAACTGCTAAATTGGGACTACATAAAAATTAAACTGTTGCACATCAAAGGATACTATCAACAGAATGAGAAGGTAGCCCACAGAATGGGAGAAGATATTTGCAAACCATGTATCTGATAAGTGGCTAAAAAACATTCTATATAAAGAACGTCTACACCTCAACACAAAAACATAAATAAAATATACAATGTTATTTAAAAATTGGGTAGAGGACTTCAATAGACATTTCTCAAAAGAAAATAAACAAATGGCCAATAATCATGTGAAAAGATACTCAACATCACTAGCCATTAGGGAAAAATAAATGAAAAACACAATGAGATACCATCTTACATCCATGAGGATGGCTATTATTTTTTTTAAAACAGAAAATAACACGTGTTGACAAGGATGTAGAGAACACTTGTGCATTGTTAGTGGGAATGTAAACTAGTACAGCTGCTATGGAAAATGGTATGGCAGTTCCTCAAAAAGTTAAAATGAGAATTATCATATGATCTCGCAGTTCGACTTTGAAGTATATAGCCAAAATAATTGAAAGCAGGGACATGGAGAGATATTTGTACAGCCATACTCATCACAGCATTATTCACAATAGCTAAAAGATGGAAGCAACCCAAATGTCCATAGACAGAAGAACAGACAAATAAAATATGGTATGTACATCAAATGGAATATTATTCAGCCTCAAAAGAGGAAAGAAATGCTGATACATGCTACAACATGGAAGAAACTTGAAGACATTATGATAAGTGAAATAAGCCGGTCACAAAAGGACAAATACTTATGATTCCATTTACACAAAGTGCCTTGAACAGTCAACTTCATAGAGACAGAAAGGCACATGGGTGGTTTCCAGGGATTGGGGTAGAGGAGGAATGGGGAATTACTGCTTAACGGGCATGGAATTTCAGTATTGCAAGATGAAAAAAGTTCTGGATATGGATACTGCTGATGGCTGCACAACAATGTGAATGTACTTGAACTGTACACTTAAAATTGGTTAAAATGGTTAAAATGGTAAATTTTATATTATGCATACTTTGCCACAAAAGAAAAAGATAGAAGAATGCTAGTTAATACTGCAGTATTCTAATCTTTCTTTCATGTATAGCAGTAGTTGGAGCACTTCCAGTGAAAGTGTGCTTATGCAGCAGAAAAATACAGACATTATTTTCTACATACAATGTTTTCCTGGTGCAAGAGAAAAATAATGGTGGTGGGTGGGGGCCAGAAAATAGATACTACAAGTTCCAAGCACTAATACTTACCACTAAAGCACCTTTTTGTGAAGATGGAGTACTTGTTAACGGGCCTCTGCTTTTCTCACCTTGGGTACTGGGATTTGTGTTCTGTCAATGATTTGTGAAACAGGGGATTGGAACAGCAGAAAGAAATAAAATAATACAGTAAGAACACAATTTAAAATTAGTATACTAGATCATAATGTATTATAGTAATAAAATTAATCTGTGAATTAAATTTTAAACAATTTGACAGGTAACTAAAGAATTTTCTGGCTTGAGATAGGTCAAACAAATACCAAGAGAACTCTACAGTCTAAAAACTGTTTAAAAATATTTTGGTTAAAATTATTATTAATTTAGGAAGAAAAGCTAATTAAAGCTTTCATTGGAAATGGTGCTTTGATTATCTTTGATAACTGTTAAGAAGAGTATTTTACTTTTAGTATTTATTTAATTTCTAGTATATTATTGTACTTTTTATGGAAATGGATTATAAGTTATTTCTGAAACTGTTAAAACATATATATAAGCAAGGATAATCAGTTTAAAATACATACATTTAAATGTATATACATACTTTCATTTATAGAACAGCAAAGTTCAAGAAATGATAATGTAGGATACAAACCTGATTTCTATTTCTTGAAGATGCAAAGAGACAGGTGGACAAATCAAGAAAGATCAAATGACAGAGAAAATAGTGAATGACAGGATCAGAGAGCTAAAAACCTTAAAAAACAGGCAGGGAAACAGATGTAGGGTATGGGAGAAGACAGAGGGTCGGAGTAGGAAGGGAGGGAAGGAATAAGGGGAGATAGGCAGGATGGGGAGATGAAAAAGAGGAAAAAAGTAAGGAAGACTGTGAGGTGAGAGACAGGGAGAAGAACAACAGCAACTGTGAGCAGAAAAACAGAGATTAACAGTCAGAGATAGAGAAGGACAGACAGAGATCAAGGCAGAGACACAGAGAAGAGAGAGACAGTGCTTAAGATTTCAAGGCAAAAAACAAAACCAGGGAGAGAAAAGACAGAGAAACAGGTAGAGGCAGAGCAGAAACAGTGACAGAGATGGTCAGAGACAGAAGATAGGCAGCTTTATTTTTAGCAGTCAGCTGCCTTTTAACTCTTGGATTCCATGAAACAATAGTCCCTCTGATATATTTCTTTGAATAGGTGTGTATTATATGCTGCCAAGTCTGGAACCCAAAGTCAGAGTTAAAACTTGAACATCACAGGAAAGTTGTGTAAGGTTTCCTTTTTTCTTTCTGGCTTAAAATCTCTTAAAAACAGTTGCTTGTTTAAGAAATAATCTGGACTCGTTTATTAGAAAAACTTTTATTTAAAAAATGTATGTGTGTACTTACCTGCTATACTGAATATGTCAGCTCTCTCCTTTATTAGCTATATAATCTTTTAATATCTTCATCTGAACAATGAGGATTATTCTTACCCCTAGGGATTGCTAAAGAGAACCTATGGTGCCTGGAGAGTAGGAGATACTCAATGATAGTTGTAATTATCATCACTGTGGCAGCCACAGAGGTGCTCTGCTCAGATCTCCTTAATCAAAGAGCTGGCAGTCAGCGGACAGACCAGCTACAAAAGCTTTACCATCTGCTTCAGATTTTGGGCTGAGGCCACTGCCTCTTCCAGCAGCCCTCCAGCAACATCTGAGCAAAGCCACCCAACATCAGACTCCTGCAACGGACAATTTTTGCTCCAGACCTCCCACTGGGAGAGCTTTCATCAGATCTTCATCGAGGACTGAGGCTACCTGCCTAATTCTGCTTCCTCCTAGCTCTCCTCTGTTTATTATCCCCTCCAATATTCCACCTGAACTCTTAATTCTGTCTGAATATCTGCTTCCCAGTGGTCCCAAGGGACAAAATTGTCAACTGTCAGTCCATTTAGACAACATCCGCCTGTAAATAGACGCAAGTATATAGCTTCTCTGCATTTTTTCTTAGATTGGTTAAGAAATTATGCATCTCTAAACCTTCCCAATAAGTACATTTGCTTTTTATACTCTTTTCAAGAAGTAGTTAATAAAAGGTCAGCGCTTACCAAAGCAGGTTCCAGGGACCAAGGCAGCAGAACTTTGGAAACTGATCTACCTGAACTGCTTTCAAGAGCAGACTTCTGGTGAGATGATGGAGCCTTGACTTGAAGATGATGAGCACTTAACTTTGTCTGAAAATTTCTATCTTTAGGATCAGAATCTTTTTCAGGCTGAAACAAATTCATAATTATAAAATACATTTCAGAGTGCTATAGAAACATTTGTAGCACTTCTCAGTTGTTCTATTTTTACTGTAATGTATATAATACATATGTTACAATTGTTTCAATTAAAATGGAATATCTATTTTAGCTCTTATTCCTTTAATGTGAAAAGTTTTTTCAACTTAAAGATAAATGTTTTTCTTAAAAAACATTTTTTTATATATCTAAAGGAAAAAAATCTTTGCAAGACAAAATAGTTTGAAGTACACTCAGCTCAAAGAATTTCTCTATCACATTTAAGGTTACAGCTCCCAAAGAGTGTTCTGTGAAAGGAAATGATAATGACATCTCTCTATTTATCAATATTTAAAACTAAATTTTAGAGAAAACTTTCAATATATTTGTATAAATGTCTTTACTGTGTGATAACCTTCTTTTAAGAAGCCCAAAGTCCTCTCTAACACTTCAGAAAGCTGCATCTACAAGACAGCGTGTTGCTTTACCAACTAATCCCTGCCCCAAACACTCAGACTGCTCAGCAACCTGTCTCAGGCTTTCCGGAGGCATTTATAACAGTATTCAAAGTTTACATATATTCAGCATAACTGAGAAGGTAGAATTTGAGTTGGGCCTGAAAGGGAAGTTGTTGGTTTTTTAAGCAACTTTACTGAGATGTTAATTCACAAACCATAAAACTCACTCATTTAAAGAGTAAAATTCAATGGTTATTAGTATAGTCACAGGGTTACGCAATCACCTCAGCGGCCTAATTTTAGAATACTTTTGTTACCCTTAAGAGAAACCCCACGCCCACTAGCAGTCAAGCTCCACTTCATCCTCACCAGACCTAAGTAACCACTAATCTATGTACACCTTATGTGTGTGTGTATATATATGTAATATATATATATATTACATATAATGTATAATGTAAGTATATATAATGTATATATAAAAATACATATAATGTGTGTGTGTATATATATATGTATATATAAAACATATATACTAATCTCTTTATATATTTGCCTATCTTGGATATTTCTTATAAATGAAATCATATAATATGTGGTCTTTGTGACTGGTTTCTTTCATGCTGCATAATGTTTTCAAGGTTCATCCAAGTTGTAGCATGTAGCTTCATTTGTTTTTATTGTCAAATAATATTCTATTGTATGGACATACTCTATTTTATTTATCTATTCATCAGTAGATGGGCATTCTGAATGTTTCCACTTTGTAGCTATTATTAATAAATGCTGCTATGACCATTGATATGTATGTTTTCAAGAAGGTATATGTTTTTATTTCTCCTGGGTATAACCTCAGAGTAGAATTGCTGAGTCCTATGGTAACTCCATATTTACAGTTTGGGAGAACAGCCAAACTGTATTTCAAAGTGACTGCACTATTTCATATTCCCATGGGGATGTTTGAAGTTCCCAATTTCTCTACATTATTATTAACATTGGTTATTATCTGTCTTTTTTATTATAGTTATCCTAGTAGATATGAAGTAATAGCTCATTGTGGTTTTGATTTGCATTTTCCTAATGACTAATGATATTGAACATGTTGTCAGGTGCTTATTGGCCATTTATGTATCTTCTCTGGAGAAATACAAGTAAGGTTTTATATACCAGCATCTTAGGGATGGGAAAACTAGAGTCAGAAAGAGACACATGCTAGGACCAAAGCTTTTGAAAAAGGGCAGAACATACAAGACTATAAGAAATGGCATTTAATGCAAGCTGTGACATATTTAAGATACTTGATTTCCATTCGATATGGAAGTTTGTGTGTGTGAGAGAGAGAACTGGTGGAGCCTGAGCCTGAGATAGTATGCATGGAAGCAGGAAAGGAAATGGAATAATGTAATCTAATTGCTAAACTCCAAGTAGGTTTTAAATTATTGACTTAAATATCTGAACAATAATTCCTATAAAAATGTTGGTTAAAAATATGCTCCGTATTAATGAACTTTATAGTTTATGTAGTTACTCTACTTCAATACTTGCTTTTTTCTTTGTTTTTTCAGAGGTCGAAGAGTAAGTTTTCTCAGCAAGTAAAACTTCACAAGTTGTATTATCTATAAATAAAAACATACTTTAGTATTTTAATTATTTAACCTGTGAGTACTTATAAGTACAGAAAAAGGAACTCAAATTTGGAAAACAAAATAAAACTGATTTTAGTGATTGTGTCTTATAATCGTTTTAGAATGATTACAAAGCTTAATATATGTTGATGATCTGACCTGCTGCAGATAAGAGAAAGCATTCTTAAAAATATCTTTATCTCAAGAGATCCAGGTTTCACAGGAGTAAATAAATTCTGTATAAAAGATTTACTGTTAGGTAGTAGAGAAGGCTTTTGTGATTAAAATTCTTCATTAGTTAGCCTTCCATTTCCACTCTCCTGGATTTTCGGGCTCTCCCTTTTTACTGCAACTTTTCTGTCAGTATTTAAAACATATTCAGGTCTCTTTCATCTTCCCCAAAATTCTACTTGTATCTCATACCCCTTCCTGCTACATACCCTTCTCTCTCATCTTATCCATTTCATATTTTTTCAAAGAGCTGTCCTCATGCACTAATGTAACTCCCTCTCCTGTGCCCGACTCCCAAGGCACAGCCATCTAGTTTCAGCTCCCATCGTCGAGCAGGAACCTTCCTCTCGAGCAGGAACCGTCCTGCCTTTCTGGACAAACAGTTTGCTGGATGAAATACAGGATGCCCACTTCAGTCTGAATTCCAGATAAACAACAAGTAATTTATTTTTTTTTTTTTGAGAGGGCATCTCTCATATTTATTGATCAAATGGTTGTTAACAACAATAAAATTCTGTATAGGGGGGTCAATGCTCAATGCACAATCATTAATCCATCTCAATCCTAGTTCTCGTCAGTCTCCAATCTTCTGAAGCATAACGAACAAGTTCTTACATGGTGAACGAATTCTTACAGAGTGAATAAATTCTTACATGGTNAACTATAAACAATCAGGTCAAATATGAATATTCGTTTGATTTTTATACTTGATTTATATGTGGATCCCACATTTCTCCCTTTATTATTATTATTATTATTTTTAATAAACTGCTGAAGTGGTAGGTAGATGCAAGATAAAGGTAGAAAACATAGTTCAGTGAAACAACAAGTAATTTTTTAGTGTATTTCCCAAGTAACAGTACAAGCATATATAATACTTGTGGCATAATTATTTTAAAAGTATTTGCTGCTTATCTGAATTCAAATTTAACTGGGCTTTCTGTATCTTTACTTGCTAAATTTGACAACACTTGAGGCTAATCACTCCTCTCATTTTCATCTCCCAAAACAGAAGTAGTAGGTTTGAGAGTTCTATAAGAGATAAAATTGTTATCAAGATTTGGTAAGAGATTGGATATAGGAAGTGACAAAGAGGAAAGTGTCGAGAATACCTGCCATGTTCCTGGTTTGCTGTGCTACATTTGCTAATGGAGATGGAGGACCAGGAGAGATGTGGGTCATGACAGTTCTCAGTCTTCTATCCTTGTTTTATTTATCTCTTGGTAACTTTTGTTCTGAATGTTGGAGTGTTTCAGTCATATTCTTTTTACATATTTATTTTCTATGTATTTTCACTTCCTAGGTAATCTCTTCTAATCCTAAGGCTTCAAAACATCTATGCAGACCCTAAATATTTATCTGCAGCCTGGCTGAGGGTGTAACTGATATAGAGGGATCCTGAGCTGAGATGGAAGGATTGGGTCCTACTGATATCATTTGAAACCCTGGATCAAGTTATATCTGCAACTGATTTACTGCTAGATTTTTCAGAATCACATAGTAATAAATTTCCTTTTTAATCTAGTACAGTTTGAGGTAGACTTTTTGTCATTTACAGGGGATGAAGAATCTAAGTGGAATATTTACTAAGGAGACAGGAGGCTTCTTTGGGTGCTTTATATCAGCGATGGAGTTGCCAAACTAAACATGAAATACAAGACAAGGCTTTCAAACACTGTCAGAAATACTGCCGTCCAGATAGCTCTCAGCTCTCCCATAAAGGACCCCATACTCAATATTAGCTCTTAAGCTGATCTTCCTTCCATTTTGTGGCAGGTTCTGCTAGGACAGCTGACAGCATCCATTCCTACTCCCCTGCTTCATTTTTCCATTTTCTCTTGCTTTCTACCAGTAAAGAGGCTAGGAAAGCAAAATCCTTGGTTTTTTGGTAAATTTTACCAAAGTAGCCTCCCAAGTGGTCTGTAGATATATGACTTAGTTCTGACCAGTGGACCTAAATAGAAGTCTGCTGGGGAATTTCTGGGAAAGCTTTTGCTCTTCTGACAAAAGGAAATGTACTTGGCTAGGGAGGCTTTTTCTGCCAAGAATGCTGCTGTCGTGCCTGGAGGCTTAGCAACCATCTTACAACTATGGGGTAACAAGCCAACATACTTCATAGTAAAAAGACAGAAAGAGTCTAGTATCTTATGGACATTAGTAAGCTGATAACACAATCTAGCTCTGGCCTGGGAAGAAAAGTCAATATAAATAAACATTTTTTGGCATGACAAAAAATACCATTAACAAAAAGACAAATGACTAACTGGGAGAAAATATTCACAAAGAGGCTCAGGTTCCTAATATACAATGAACTCTTAAAAATTGAGGGTAAAGGATGAAAAATATCAATTGGAAAATGGGGCAAAGAAATGAACAGAAAATTTATACACAACACACACACATACACACACACAAAATAAATATGGCCCTCAAATTCATGAAAAATATTTAAACTCACATATAATCAGGGAAATGCAATTTAAAATAATACTGAGATACAACTTCTCATCTACTAGAGTAGCAAAACTTTAAAAATATGACAATATGTTTTGTGGGTGTGGGTATGGGGAAACAGGCACTCCAATACATTGCTGGGTAGAGTGCAAACTGGTACAATCCTTCCAAAGGAAAATTTGAGAATACTTAACAAAACTATATATTCACTTACCTTTTGACCCAGCCATCCTACTTATGGGAATATACCTTGAAGATATATTACCAATAATATTAATATATGTATCATGAGTTTATTCATTGAAGCATTGTTTATAATGGCAAAATACTAGGAAAAAAACCCAAATACCCAATTCACAGGAGAGTGGTTAAGTAAAGGAAAATATATCCACATAATGGAGTGGAGTGCAGCTGTGAAAAACATGGAAAATATCTCTGTAAAACCATATGAAGTGATTTCCAGTTCATATTATTAAGTGGGAAAAGCAAAATGAAAAAAGTATCTATACATAAAAGTATGCTATCTTTCATGTAAGAAAGAAGTAAAATACATAGTTATCTATTTGTGCAAAAGAAAGACAAGAAAGGTGAATCCTAAACTAAAGAGACTGGTTATCTATAAGGGGTGTGTAGGAAAGGGATATAAAGTAGAGAGAATAGGATCAGGGTATCAGGGGGAAGAAGGAAAAGTGATACTTTTGTGAAAATACTGTTTTGTATAGCTATGGCTCTTAGAACCATAGTAACGTTTCATATGCCTTTGCGTTTCCCCAGCTCCCCAAATAAATGAACAAAATCAAATAGGATGGGAGAACCAAAACTTGGATTTAACACTAACAAATGATTTAACAATATTACAAGTGAATCACAACTGCACTGAAAGGGGAGGGAAGGAAGAGAATTAATCAACATAACTTTGGAAAACAGCATGTTGACTGGATACTGTAATGTTAAACACAAACAACTGTACACAACTGGGAAACAATTCTGAAACTCCTTTATTTATATACTGGAATTAAATAAAATATTGGATTTTAATGCATAAAGTAAAATAAATATCCATGAGCTTATACTACATATATACTCCATATATACTCTATATAAATATCCATCATTTATAATGATGTAATATAATCGAGTAATATATACTGATATAAGAAATTGAATAAATAAGTGGCAGAAAAGAGTTCTGTAACCATAAAATTCCAATTAATAAATGTAGCAAAAAAGAGTGAAATAGAAAATCACCACTGGGCAGTTGCAGTCAAGTTCCTCTATGACTGGTAATATCAGTGAATGAAAGGAGAAGCAGGATTTACAGAGTCTGAAACTACCTTTCCTAGATAGTTATGAACTACAAAAGGAAACTAGTAACTTTACAATGGAGAAAACCAGAAGATAACACCTCTATGAAGTGACGAAGTCTAACACTACCAGTGATAAGATACACTGACATCAAGAACTCCTTAATACAATGTACTCAGAAGGGCACATCATTTCTGTGGTGTTCTTATCAAAAACTGCATAAACTCATCCCAGTCATGAGAAAACATTAGACAAATTCAAACTGAAGAACATTCTACCAAATAATTGATCTGTAATCTTCAAAAGAATCAAGGTCATGAAAGACAAAGACAGACTGAGGAGCTGTCATGGGTACAGCAGACTAAGGGAGAAATGACAATCACATCCTAGATAGGATCCTGAAGAAACGACATTAGTGGAAAACTGTGAAATGTGAATAAGGGCTGTAGTTGAGTTAATAGTTTTACACCCATGTTAACTTTCTGATTCTGATCATTGGTCTGAAGTTATACAACATTAAGGAAGGCTGGATGAGAGGTGTACAGGAACCCTTTGTACTATTTTTGCAACTTTTCTGCAAGTCTAAAATTAGTTCAAGATAAAAATTATGAAAGAGCAAACCCATATAAGCTTAGGTAGCATTAGTCAGATATATGTAGCCAAAGGTAATCCTAATTGATAAACTTAGTTTACAAATCATTCAAAAGAAAAAAAATACTTAGCTTTTTCCAACATAGATGAGGGTTTTCTCCTGGCATGAGAAAAAATAATGTGGAAACTCACCTAGAATTGCAGAAAGATTTGGAAACTGTGGTGCCTTCTCTATTGATACTGCTTTACTGGTGTCCAGCAGAGTGGAATTCTTGCGTTGCCTGTGTTCTTCCAACACAGGACACTCCCAATCTAAAAAAGCCAGGAGACATGGCCCAAAACATGGACCAGCACACAAGGGCAGGTGGCCTTTCCCCCCCAACTTAGGTCCCCAACTTATACCAGCTATGGTAATTCAAGAAGGTTTTGCATGAGACAGAGAAAAAAGACAAGCCTTGATGGCATCAGTACAGTAAATAATCTTTGGGCTATTCCAGTGCTGTAACTCACTTTCTCACATAGATTTTTGGTCCATAAAGATTATTGATCTAAGGGGAGACAGTATACATGGGAGATGCCTCTCATGTATAATTTATACGTATATCCCATTAAAAATCATATCACTAAATAACATACAACTATTAAATAAATGCCAGTTTTAAGCTTTTTATTGAATTTCCACTATTGAAAAATGAGGCTATTCTCTCTTATATCGTCCTATCCCCACCTTTCCCACACTTTCCATTGTCCTCATTATTATCATGTCACATATTTAGTTAGATCAGTATTTAATATAGACATTATGATTGTAATTGCTATAAAAATGCTATTTATTCTTATGGTATACCATGACCAAAAATTTTTTTTGTTTTTCATGGAGCCAATAAAAGTCTTTTTTATTTACTTTTCTGTTATTTTTCAAGTATTTATTCCCAAACTCTACCAAATTATGTAGATTCATTGTTTATTCCATTCTCTGGTGTTCTGAAGTTTCATAATGCTCTATCTTCATGTTTTTTATCTACTCTGCTAGCCATGCTGTGGCTAGAAATCATATTCTTTAGCTATATAAAATGTCCTTGAATTATACTGGATAATTTTCTTCCTGCTATTTATTTCACTATCTTTCTGGAACCTTACTATTTGATATTTGATTTCATACACTGCTTCTCTAACAACTTTTTTTCCCTAATTGTAATCTTTAAAAATTTTTTTCTCCTCGTTTTCTGGGAAATCTCCTCAAGCTTATCTTCTAATCCTTCTACTGAATCTTCCATTCTGCTTTTGCATTTAATTTGTTCTCTGAATACCCTTTATTCTTATTTAATGGATGCTATATTTTCTTATCTCAATGAAGACTTTTCCCCCAGGATTTTCCTCTCCTTGTGTTTCTATTTCTGCTTAGTTTCCTTTTCTTATTTCACTGTGGTAGGAACACTCAACATGAAAATCTACCCTTTCAAGTTTGTAAGTTTACAATACAGTAGTTGTAACTACAGGCATGGTGTTATACAGCAGATCTCTAGAACTGATTCAGCTTGTATAACTGAAACTTCATGCTTGTTGGAATAGTCAATCCCTCTCTCCCTCTCTCCCTAGAACCTGGCAATCAACATTCTGCTCTCTACTTCTATGAACTTGACTATTGTAGCTATCTCATAACTGGACTCATATAGTATTTGTCTTTCTGTGACTGGCTTATTTCACTTAGTATAATGTCCTCAAGGTTCATCCATGTTGTTGTATACAGCAACATTTCCTTCTTTTTTAAGGTGGAACAATACTCCATTGTATGTATGTAACATACTGTCTTTATCCATTCATCCATCAATGGCCACTTAGGTTATTTCCACATCTGGCTAGTTTAAATATGCCACAATGAACACGACAAATATCTCTTCAGGATCCTGATTGCAATTATTTTGGATTATTATCTAAAAGTAGGATTACTGGATCATATGGTAGTTCTATTTTTAACTTTTTGATGAACCTCTATACTGTTTTCCACAGCAGCCATACCATTTTACATTCCCATCAACAGTGTGCAAAGGTTCCAATTTCTCCACATCATTGCCAACATTTGTTATCTTTATTTTTTTTAATAACACCATCCTAATAGGTGTGAGACAATATCTCATTGTGGTTTTGCTTTGCATTTTCCTGATGATTACTGATGTTGAGCATCTTTGAATATACCTGCCACCATTTGTAATTCTTCCTTCCTTGAGGAAATGTTTGTTCAACCTTAGCCCATTTTTTAATCAAGTTACCTGGATTTTTTTTTCCTATTGAGTTGTAAGAGCTTCTTATATATTTTGGATATTAATCTCTTATCAGGTATGCGGTTTGCAAATATTTTCTCTATTTTTGTAGATTGCCTTGTGTTGATTGTTTCTTCTGTGCAAACAAATGCTTTTTAGTTTTAGGAGGTCCTATTTACCTATCTTTGCTTTTGTTGCCTGTGCTATTTGTGTCATATTTAAGAAATCATTGCCAAGACCAAGTTCATGAAGCTTTCCCATTTTTTTTTTCTAGGAGTTTTAAAGCTGTTGGTCATATTCTTAGGTCTTAAATCAACTGTTGTATCCATTATTGGAAGTGGGGTACTGAAGTCTCCCATTCTCACTGTATTAGTGTCTATTTCTGCCTTCAGTTTAGTTTTGTATTTGCTTTATATGTTAGAGTGTCTGATGTTGGGGGCATATTTATTTATAATTGTTATAAGTTCCTTATGAATTGACCCTTTTATCATTATATACAATATCCTTCTTTGTGTCTTGTGATGGTTTGGCTTAAAGTTTATTTTATCTAAGTATATCCACTCCTGCTTTCTCTTGGTCGCCATTTGCATAGAACATCTTTACTCATCTGTTATTTTCAGCCTGTGTATCCTTAAATCTAAAGTGAGTCTTTTGTAGATAGCATGTAATTTAATCTTTTTGTAACCCACTCAGCCACTCTTCGTGTTTTGAATAGAGAATTCATTTATATTTAAACCAATTACTGATATGGAAGGACTTGCTACCATTTTGTTAATTGTTTTCTGCCTGTTTCATAGTTTTTTTGTCCTTCTTTTCCTCTCTTGCCATCTTTCTTTGTGTTTGATTTTTTAATATTAAAATATCTTGATTCCTTTCTATTTTTCTTTTGTGTATTTTCTATAGGTATTTTTTATGGTCACCATGGGACTTACATAAAACATAATTTTAACAGTCTATTTTAAGTTGACAGCAACTTCAATCATATACAGAAACTACACTTTACTTCTCCCCTCACACATTACTGATGTTATAATTTCCATCTTTTTATATTGTGTATCCATTACCATATTTTCAGTTATTGCTATTTTTGATATTTTTGTCTTAGCTCTTATACTAGGATTAAAAATGATTTATATACCACTAAAGTATTAAGTATTCTGTATTTACTGATATACTTACCAGTGCTTTACATTTTCTATGTTTTATTGTGGCTCTTTAGAGTCCTTTGCTTCAACTTGAAAAACTACCTTTAGCATTTCTTCTGACACAGGTCCATGGTTTTTAATTCCAGGTTAATTTGTCTGGGAAAGGCCTTATCTCTTTGTTTTTTAAGGAGTTTTGCTACTTATAGTGTTCTTGGTTGACAGTTTTTTTGTCTTTAAAGTACATTCACTACGTCATTCCACTCCCTACTAGCCTGGAAACTCTGTGGAGAAGTCTGTATGTAGTCTAATGGGGGTTCCCTTGTTCATATCAAGTTGCTTTTCTATTGCTGCTTTCAAAATTCTTTGTCACTGACTTTTGACAACTTGATTATCTGTCCCAGTGTGGATTTCTTTGGTTTATCTTATTTGAGGTTTGTTGGGCTTCCTTGTTCTTAATGTACATTTCCTTCCCTAGATTTGGCAAGTTTTCAGCCATTGCTTCTGTAAGATTTCTGATCCTTCCTCCCTCCACCTTCTCTTTCTGGGACTCCCATAATGTATACATTGACCTGTTTGACTGTCTTATAAGACTCTTATGCTTTCTTTATTCTTCTACATCCTTTTTCCTTTTTGCTCCTCTGACTGGGTAATTTCAAATGAGCTATCTTTGAGTTCACTGATTCTTTCTTCTGCTTGATTTAACCTGCTGTTGAATTCCTTTACTGGATTTTTCAGTTCAGTTATTGCATTCCTCAGCTCTAATATTTCTGTTTGGTCCTTTTAAAAATTTTCTATACTATTTTCTTGAAATTCTCACTTTTTAATGCATTGTTCTTTTGAGCTCACTGAACATCTTTATTACAATTATTTTGAATTCTCTGTCAGGTAATTAATATGCCCCCATTTGATTAGGGTCAGCTTCTAGAGCTTTATATTATTCCTGTTTTGGGACCATGTTTCCCTGCTAGTTCTTTTCCTCTGATTCTTAGTGCTGGTATCTGCACATCTGGAAGAACAGCCACCTCTCCCATTCTGATTTGCAGATTGGCCTCATACAGGTGACTCCCACTAATCAGCCCAACCAGAGATTCTGGGATCCTCTCAAACCTTCTTGCTAATCCAAACCATCACCTTTGTTCTTAGTGGCCACCACGCACCTAGAGTATACAGTCTTATCATTACTCTGAGAAAGGTGAGACAGAATCCATTCCCTTGGGAAGCCCTGGAAATGCTGGAATATTGGACATACAGTCTAACTCCCTCCCCAGAGAAAAACTGGAATCTAGTGCATGTTTGCATGCTAAACTGCTTTGTTCTGAGCATCTATCAAGCTTCTAGATTATGTCAGGTCCCATCAGTACTCTGAGATAGGCAAGACAGTAGCAAATGCTTTGAGCAGCTCCCAGACAATTTAGAACATTTGACATGTGGTTCAGTCGTTTTCTTCCCTTCCTAGGAAGAAGCTGAGAACTCGGGGTTTATTTCCAATTGTATGGCACTGTGCTGGGGGTATGTATTAGGTGAGGGAGTGTCTTGAATTTTCTTACTGGCTTTGATGTAGCTGGTCTTATGCTTTCCTGGGATATAGGAGACCCTCAGCTAGTTTCTAAATTTCTCAAAAAGGTAATTAGTCCATGTATTGCTGTTGAATTGGTGTGTCTGTGGGAGAGGGAGGGACTAGGGCTTCCTACTTCAACTCCTTGGTGATATCACTCCCATATTTTCCTTTGTTTTAATCTCCATGGTTTATTTTAGAGGAATTCTTCAGAAGTCTGGTGATACTTGACTCTCTGTTCATATTTAAGAGGGGTCCATAAAAGGCCAATGGCATGCCAGTGACTTAGTTGGGGCCTGTCACACAGTTGGTTTCACTGAAGGGAGCTCTTGTCAGTTTCTACAAAGGACTGAGGTCAGTATCTTTAGATATTTTCTTTAGGGTTGCTCAGATTTCCTAGGAAAGAATCTTCTTCTGTCTGGAAGGTTCAAGTCTGGGGCTAGGATTCAGGAAGCTGAGCAGAGAAATGGACTGTTGGGTTGGGATGCAGATTGGCACCGGGTAAGCAGGTCCCACATTTAGAAAGTATACTCTCATTTAATTCTGTGTTCAGTATAGTATTTGAAGCAGTCGGCTTTTTCTATATAATAAATACCCTTAGAATCAGTGGCATAAAATGAAAGCATTTGTTTCTTATTCCCATGCCTACTGGTTGGCTCAGGCAGCTCTGGTTCCAGTTAAGGTCTGCTGATCAGCTGGGGAAGCACTCTGCAGTCTGCAGGTTGCCTGAGGTTGTTCTGCTCTGTACTTCTTTTTGTGAAGTCCCACAGGAGAGGAAAAAGCTAATTAGGACATATTCTTCTCATGATGGCTAAGGGGTAAGACAACAAGACCAATAATTTAAAGAAATTTCAAAGGTTTCCTTTGTTTCATTCACTGATATCCTATTGCCTAAAACAAGTCAGATGTCCAACCCCAAAGCCAAAAAGTAAAAAAGGATACTCTACTCACTTTGAGGCTATGGCAGAGGCGTGGTAATATATTACTACATGGGAATGAGTAGTTGGTACCAATGTTTCAAAACAGCAGAGTACCCCTGCTATTAACAGTGCCTAGTATCCTCTAGTCCAGAGTCTGTCTGCTTTAAAACAACCCAAAGAATAAATCTCCAGGCTCTCTTTGAGTAGGAAAGGGGTAGTCACCACAACTTCCATGTTGCAGACATATCTTTCTACAAGTATTTGGTGCAGCCAAGTTGAGAGCTTTTATGGGATAATATTGTGTAAAATGGCTTATTTCTGGGTTATCCTATTGTTGATTTAGAACTCAGCTTTCTCAGGTCTGCTACAGACTAGATGCCCTCTAACTTTTCAAACTTTGTGCTTTATTTCCTCCAATTCTCTACCCTTAATGATTTTTGTTTTTTTAAAAACATGCTGTTTTCTGCCACTGTAGAAAGTTGTGGAGGAAGGCATGTGTTCAATCTGCCATCATTAAACTGAAGGCTCTTAATTAAATGTACAGTAAATGTAAATAACTGCTAATCTGTAGGAAAAATTCAAGCAGGGAGAAGGCCTACTTAACATTTAACTTATTTGCTGAAAAGTAAAAGTAGTACAGGAAATAAAGATAGCTGATTGTTCAAAAGAACAAGTATACATTCATTATGTGTAAAACTGCTTAATAATTGGATGTGTATTGCATGTAAGTGTGACTCTCTTCATCATTCCCTGATCTGAGGGCTTTTGATGTATAGTTCTGTGTGATGGAGTGTGGAACACAGTGGATAGCGGGCAGGGGCAGGAGGTTTTGGTGTGAAAGATAGTACACCTTCTCAAAAGGAACATTATTTATTGGAGGATTTGTGGACAAGAAACAGTTTCTGTGGTAGGCCACCTTAAGGCTGAAATTAATTTCTCACCTAAATAATCTGATCTTCTGAAGAGTTCAGGTGATGGGAAGCTACTTAAACTCTCTTCAAAACTCTTGTATTCTGTATGAGAGTCTATGACTGAATCGCTAAGAAGAGAACTGGAAATATCTTGCAAACTTAGTCCTGTAGAATAAACAAACAAAAAGGGTAAAACGTTTCAATAGTAAACAGCTCAAAATCCTAAAAATTCAAATTTGTAGAAATGTATAGGCAGTTGTATACTAAGAATGTGAAATAACATATATAACTGAAAAGGCCTATAACTGTACATCATTCTAATTTCTATCTTAGGAAATAATTCTGTTTTTGATATAGAGAAAATCCTTTTCCATTTTTTTTCAAAGTTTTATAACTTATTCTTTCCCTATTTTGGTTCAGTTGTGAATCTTTACCCCAGAATCCAGGTTTTATATATAAATAAGCTACTAATTTTATACTAACTAGCTGAGGAGAAGAAAGTGTAATTCTAGGTATTTCATTTAAAAAACGAGCCTAACATAGACAAATAGATCAAAGAAACTGAACAGAGTCCTGAAATAGACTCACCCATATACGAGCAACTGATTTTTTTTTTTATTAAGGTATCATTGATATACAATCTTATGCTCAGGTTTCAAATGAGCAACATTGTGGTTACTAGACTCCCCCCATTACCATGTTCCCACCACATACCCCATTACAGTCACTGTCTGTCAGCGTAGTAAGATGCTATAGAGTCACTATTTGTCTTCTCTGTTATGAGCAACTGATTTTTAACCAAAATACAAAGGCAATTCAGTGGAGAAAGAATATTCTTTTAAATAAATTATGTTGGAACAACTGGATATCCATATGCAGAAGCAAAACAGAAAAAAATTGCACTCATACTGTCCATCATACAAAACATTAACTCTAAGTCGATCATAGACCTAAATGTAAATCCTAAAACTAAAAGACTTCTAGAAAATAACAGAGGAGAAAATTGTCATGACACTGAGTTAGGCAATGATTTCTCTGAAATAGCACTAAAAGGATGGTTCATGAAGCAACAGAATGACAAATTGGACTTCATCAAATTAAAACGTTTCTCTTCAAGAGAGACTATCAAGATGAAAAGACAGGCCACAGACTAAGAGAAAACATTTTCAAATGGGCTGGAAAGCAGAATATGAAGAATATGAAAAATTCAAGAGTAAGAAAACAAACATCTCAATATGAAAACAGGCAAAATATTTGAACAGAGCCAGTCTCTGTTCATCCATTACCTACCTGAGACAACTAACTCTTCTTCCTACTTGGACCTCACCACACCTTTGCTTTTCCACTCCAACCCCTCCTTTAAGTTGACAAATGTTTGTTACCTGTCCACCTCCTCTAGTCATAGTGCAACACTTTAACTGATTGACCCGATCTACTATCATTATTCACCTCAGATGCCGGAAATAGGTTATCCCTCGAGTATCTCTTGCTTCCCCTACTCCAGCTGCCCTAGAGTGTCCTCTTCCTGACCTTGCTACTTTTTACTCTTCTCACTCTGTCTTCAACCTTCTCACCCCCAGGTTGTAATTGCTCTTGCCTTCCATCTCTCAAAATTCTATGAATATCACTCACAGGAGAACTATCCCTTCCACTAAACCCCAGAATTCAAGCCAGGCTCAGAAATTAGAAGAACCCCATATTCACAATCTGGGTAGCTGGGTAGAGGAAAGACTAAATAAATATTCATGACTTTATCAGTGGAAGGTTGCTCCCAGTGTCAAAAGTTTAAAATGTAAATGTATTTAAAATTATTCATATCAAATTACATTATACATTTTTAATAAGTCAAATAGTTCTAAAAGTTTATCTTATCTTGTTAAAAACCGCAGTCTTACTTCATACCTCCCCATCAGAATTCCCTACTCTCTAGAGGCATCTACTTTCAACTCTATTAACTATTTTTATCTACTTTTATATTTCTAAAGGACATGTATTTAATGACTATTATTATGACTGCTCAAATATACTTACAGCTGAGCCATTTACTACAAACTACATTCACTGCTTTTCCTAATAGTTTTAGTTTTTTCTTTGAGTTACTGATTACCTTATTTTTAAATTAGTTTTCTAAGTACATATTACTACTTCATCCCAACTTCTGCTCAATTCCTTTAAAAAATGCCAGATTATCTACCAGTTCTTTTTATTTCTTTTCTTTCCTTCCTTCCTCCCTCACCCTCTCTTCCTCTCCCTTTCTTTCCTTCTTTTTCTTTTTTCTTTCTTAAAGGAAGTATTGCTATTGGAGGTCTCAAGACATTTACTCAAGTTTGGACCAGTCATCCTCTATAGACATGCTGCACAGGTATCTTCTTGGGATTTCCCTTTACCATTATTTTAAGAAATTCTTTCATATGTTGCTTGTATTGAGGGTTTAATTCCTAGACCCCATGATTTCTTCTTTGTTGATTTACTCTCTGGTTTTGTTGGAGTATTTCCTTCATTTCCTGAGAAAAGGTTCATGGAAGATTTGTCTAAAAAATTGTTTATACTATTGTCACACTTGAGTGATTGTTTGGTTAGGTACAGAATTCTAGACTAGTATATTAAAAACACTAATTCCATTTATTGATATTTGACAGATTTACACGTCTCTGCTCCCTCTTGCCCTTCTGCCCCATATCTGGGCAGGCTGACAAGAAAGCCCTGGTGCTCCATCTTTGAGAAATGACGAGTTAAAATCATGCATGGGAAACCTCATCCTGGCCCTACCTTCTGACCACATTAAAACCCCAACCCATTCTCCTTTCTCTGCTCTCTCAAGTCATTTTCAGCCCTGCTTGGAAGATGCCCTCCTCTCCAGGAAGCCTCATTATATGAGTAGTAAACATTTCCATACCCTCTTGGTTAGGTGGGTGGCATCATCAGTCTTGAAATCTGAACCAAATTTTGGGTGGGGATCCATCCTATCTCTGCAAAATCAGTTTTCTTCAGAATTTTGAATGCATTTTCCCATGTTCTAGCTTCTAGGGTTGCTTTCGCAAAGTTCAGTGCCATTGACTTCTTGATTGTTTATTTGCAATCCACAATTTTTTTCTCTAAATGACTGAAGGATTTCTCTCTTTATCCTGAGGATTTTTCAACTACATTCTGTTATACCTTGGTGTGGGTCTTTTTCATTTATTGTGATGCATAGTTGGTGGGTCTTTCAAAGTGTACAGTTATGACCATTTTAAATTCCAGAAAAATATCTAGTTTTATGTGTTTTATCATTTATTTCAATTTACTCTATAATGTCTGGAACTACTATTTTTTAGATGTTAATATGCCTAGACTCATCTCATAATCATTTCTTTTTTAGATAGGATCTTTATTAAAACCCAATTCATGTTCCATAAATCTCAATCTTTTTAAGTATACAATTCAGTGGTTTTAGTATACTCACATAGTTGTGTCACCACTGCCACTATTTTTATCTTTTATCTTCTCTTTGATGTTTGTTCAACTTTTGGAATATTTCCTTAAATTCATCATCTAATACTTCTTAGGATGTTTTATTTCTGATTTCACATTTTTATTTTTTAAGAATACTTTTGTTCTCTGAATGTTCCTTTTTATAGTAACCTGCCTTTGTTTCATGGAAAAAAATTTTTTTAATCATCCTGAGGATAATAAATGAAAATATAGCTTTTAAAAGTTTTGTACTACCTATATTCTTCAGGTTTTTATTTGGGTTTTCATTTAAAATGTTTCCTTTAAATGTCTGGTGATTCTTAAAAGTTCAAGAATGAGGTATTAAATAGCAATTGGAAACTGTGGGTTCATGAGCGGAGTTTAGGGAGTAGTGGGCTTTATTGAAGGCTATTTAGATAGGGACCAGGTCATTATTGCCAGAAGAAAGGTCTTCAGGACAAAGAAGTTTCCAAAAGAGAATCCTCCAGTCTCCTAGTTGGGTGTATTTTCCTGAGTGAGATAAGGGGTTTGGAGGCGTCACCACTAAGTGTAACAGACTTAATCATCTTCTCTCCTTCTCCCAGTGCTAGTTTTCAATAAATTGCCCCCACCCTGAGCTGCACATAACATCCCTAAGTCCAGAGCACCTGCTTCAATATTTCTGGACTGCAGGGGTGGGAAACACTGGCCATACAGTAATGGGGAAGGGATTGAAGCATCTGCCACTTCTAAAGATTTCCAAAAATCCTATTTTTAATTGTCTGTATCCTTTACTTAAGAAATATGTAATGCCTCTAATTCCCAACCCTACAGCCTGAAAAAATTGTGTGTTTGCTCCTTGGTCATCCTTACCCTAGGCACCTGGCTTTCAGCATTTTTTTCTCTGTTAGGCTGATCATAATTTATTCACCTATTTTCCAGATTCCAGACTTTTATTGATTATCCCTTGCTAGCTGAGGTCTCTTCATGCTCTTTTTCTCTACCTATGCCTTTACTGATATTTTAGTGAGATTTCAAAATGGAGAAGTAAATGTGTATGTTCGAGCTTCCATATTGAAGTCCTAGATTAATTTTCATCATGTTGCAAAATTACAATATTCCAAGATAGAATTAAGACAACTAAACTATATGGTAAATAGAATTCCATAGGTTGCTCAATACCTAATCATTTATGTTTTATTATGGGGATGAGTATTCTAGTTTTCAACATGGGATGGGAAGATAATAGGTAGTGCTTATTCTCAATGGCTTTAGAACCAAAAGAAACGAAAACAATTATACTGTTGTTCTGAGTCTTATGACTCAAAACAAAGAGTGTACAAAGAGTGCCACAGAACTACCAGGCTAGAACAGCTCATCTGGGAAGAGAGAAGAGTGGCCAGGAAAGGATTCCCAGTAGAGATGACACCTGAGTATTTTTCTGAAGAACAATTACAAGTTGACCAGGTAAAGAGAGAAGAAGGAAAAAGCATTTGCTGAGCACCCACCATGTTCTTTTGCATTTATATTCTGGGCAATATTCCTCTGTTCTATTTTCTATTTTCAGCTGAATTCATTCCAATATTAGGCTTATGATGCTATTTTTAGTTTCCAGAGACTATATACATATATATATATATGTATGTATATACATATATTTTTTGTAGCAGCCTTTTATATTGTGGATTCAATGGCCTCTTCACTCTAAAAGAGAGATGCAGTTTTCTGCCATTTCCTCATATGTTAGTTCTTCTGTTCATTCCATTCATTGCCTCTTTTCCATGGCATTAGTTTTCTTCAAAGGTTTGGCTGTTCATATGTCTGAGGATCTCTGTATGGCAGTGAGTATAAATTCTGAAACAATAGCCTACGTCTGGAGATGTTGGAAGAATGATGAGATATTCTAGGAATTTATGTTCTAGGTATTTTGTCCTCCTCTTTTTCTGAGGACTGTGCGCTACATGGGGGCACTGCCCTATTTATCTGGCTTGCGTCCACACTGGATGCCTCCTGTATCAGAATTCCCACTTCAGAGGACCATACTGTATCTTTATTCTGGGGTTAACAAGCATAAACATAATCCATCTCTTTTACCTTTTTCTCCCTCTGCTATTCTATGGCAATCTGGAGTTACTTCAGACTCTCTTCTGCTTCTCACTCCAGCCCCAACACTGATCCTTAGGAGCCAAACCTTTGATCCACATTGCTTGGGAGTAGTTACCAGGATTTTATCCTGGGAGCACTGATAGCTGCCAGTGCTTCCAATATAAGCAGGGGACGAACAGAAGAGGTAGTTTGTAGTGCCAGAATGTGGTGATTAATCCATCACCTGGATGATTCCTTCCACGCCCCTTCTTTCATGGTGTTTCACATTTACTGACCAAGCATCTAGAGTATGCCTAGAGTTATTCTTACCTCTGCACAGGTTTTTCTCGGCTTTTCATATATTCATCAATATGATCTCATCTGCTTTGAACAATTTCTCAGTATTTCTGTGTGCTGGTAACATCCTTTCTTGTATCCAAAAATAACTTCAATTACACCAATATGTAGAGATGGCTCACAATTTCTATAGGCAGCCCTTCATATCCAACTGCCTATTTGACACTGTTCCTTAGTTATCTTAAAGGCACCCATAATTTAATATACTAAAAAAAAAACTTATTATCTTTCCTTCAAGATTTTTTTCAGTGAATGGTACCACCTCACATCCAGTGATACAAGCCAGAAACAGGTGTCATCTTTGACACTCCATCTCCTTCACTCTTCATTTGCCAAAATCTGTCAATTTTACTTCTTAAATTAACCATCAGATATGCCCACTTCTTTCCATTTCCAAAGTCATCCCTCAATACAAAATACCATCATTTCTCCTCTAAACTACCACAATGGTCTCCTAACTGGTCTATTTGGGTCCACTCCTGTTTCTTTCCACACTGTGGCTAAAGGACTATCATTCTCTAAAAGTCTTCAGTGGTTTCCTGCTGCTCTAAACATAAGCACCAAAATCTCTGACATGGCCCGCAGGGCTGTGCAAGGCTTCTCACTGTCTGTCCAACCGTGTCTCATTATCATATTTCCTCTTCTTCTCTGGGCTACAGCCACACTGGCCTTCTTTCACTGAAGCTGTGGTGCTCAGTCCTTACGTTCTCTGCATATGCTGTCCCCTCTGCCGGGGCTGCTCTTTACTCATCTCTCTGCAGAGTTAATTTCTGCTCTTCATCAGCTCAATTAAATTGCTATTCTCTCATGGAAGCCTTCCCTAATCTCTCCAACTAAACTCAATTAGTCACACTTAAGCCAATCTCCCTTCTGCAGCACTTACCACAATTTATAATTTACTGGTGTGTGCTTTTAAAGGCTTTGAGGATGAGGTCCAGAGCACAGCCAAAATGACTGACCTTGGACTAAGAGAAGGGCACCTCTTTCACTGAGATGGGAAGATGGGGCAGAGCTACAAATGGATGCTTTGTAAGAAAGTTGAGGGGATTCACATCTGACAGACTTACCTGATAGTAGGTCAATATTTGACGAACTACTGTCAACCTGGAGGCCATCAGTCACTGACTCCTGGGTGAAATAAGAAGTAAAAGTAGAGCACAAATTATGAGATTGAATATTTTTATATTATAATATTATATCACATTGATTTGGCAATTTGAAAATGAAAAACTAATGCCAACTTTGTAAATCAGTTTCATATGTATAACAGATTCTTTCAGCTTATTGATTACAGATGCAATGATATTTAATATTAAATCTAAAGATAAATACTAAAATATAATATCGTGAACATATCTAGGGAGTCAACAGTATACTAGTCAACTAGCCACTGTGAGATAAGCCAGGAACTAGAAGGTAAAGGTGAATGTTTTTGTGATCCACTAAGCAGGAAGGGCTATTTTTCCTCCAAGTATGAAAACAAAATAAATCAAAAGAAAAGATTGCTAGTTAAGTTTAAAATACCATAAATTAAAGACAAATATGGAAATACTTGTTACATATGTGTCTGTAAAAGTATAACTATCTTTAATATGTAGTGATACACATTTCACAAAAAAAGAAACATAAGGAGCCAACAAAATGAGAAAAATAAAGTATTAAAATTACTAGCATTCAAAGAATGGGAAGTGAAACAGCATGCTACTTTTAATCTATCAAATGTCTTTTTTAAGTTTCAGGCAAGATGGTGCCAACTGGCCAACATGAATCAAAAAGTTTAAACGTGATCTGACAGACCCTTGATCCACTGAAAAGTATTTGTGTTTAGAATAACAATTAGAGATACACCAAAAACCTTCTGAAGTGCGATGTCCACTAATCCCTACAACAGCAAAATCTTGGAAACAATCTCAATCCTCCAACCATAGGAAAATAGCCATACAATTTACATACATCTATTTATAAGAAAAAGCACTTTGCAGATACTAAAAATAATATTTTTGAAGACTATTTAATGGTAAAGGAAGATGCAACAAGATAATTTGTAAAATAAAAGCAGAGCAAAAAAGGAATGAATGAAAAGAAATATATGAAAATTAGAAGAAATTTTAAACTTTTTTTGCAGCCTGAATCGTCTACAAGGAACACTCAGCACTGTTAAAATCTGGGATAAAAGCCTTTTAAAAAAATGCCTTTTGTTGAAGCTGCCCTCCCCCCAAAACAAGTGACAGAGGAATAAATAAACTACAACAGTGGAACACAACTATTAAATTTAATGCTAATGTCAGATGAGTCATAAGCAATGTTTAAAAATCTATGATTTTCTCCAAACTACTGCTACCCATCTTTAAAATACTGTACAGAATCCATATTAAACACAGTAGATCAAGAAGTTATATAATAGTCCCATGGCAATGAATCCTGTTTCTAGTTGTTAGTATAAAGTTAAATGAAAAACTATGAAAATAGCTTTAAAATGTTTAAATATAAGGGAGTTACTGAGAAACGTTTTAAATCTGTGTCACAGAAAATGAGCCAATAATGGACATTTTTTGTCAAAGGAAAGAAAAACCAGAAATGCATGGCTTTGAATCTACCAGAATCACAAATTCAAGGCCCTGTCTAAAGACACAACATCAATGTTTAGCAAAACACTTGAAAGCTCTGTAGTCTCTACTGAACGAAGATCACATTCTACTTTCATCTCAAGGTACATCAGGTACTCCTGGTCTCTACACTAAGTGTATCCAAGGACCATAGCAGAAACATACATACACTCAAAGGAGCAATCTTCTCATCCTGGGTCTCTTCACTAGTGTTATTTTCATTCAGGCTTTTCTCTCCTGTAACTCTTAACTGAGTGCTAACAAACAAACAACATAATTAGTTTGCACTGTCTGGACTTGGCTCTCCACGTCTGTTCACTGTTTACATTGTCCAGACTCTGAAAGGCTCTTTGGGGACCTGATTAGGAAAAAGTAAGGACCAGAGTGGGTGAAAGGTACTAATACCCAATCGATGCTATGAACGCTTTCCTGGAGGTTTTCTTCTCAGTGGCTTCTGGGTAACTTGGCAAGGTTTCCTCTTTTTTCCCTTTTTCTTTTCTTTTAAATAAATCTTTCTGAATCAAATTTCTGGGCCTATGTTCTGAGAACGAAATCAAAGTAGTCTATCTATTCTCTTTGCTGAGAGGTAGTCTATCTATTCTCTTTGCTGAGAGGCTATCAGCAGAAAATTAGGATTGAATTTCCGAGAAGGGAGCCAGAAGGCACTGGGGCTGTCAACTCCGTGGCTACGCACCTTGGCGGCCCGGACTGGCTACCTCCCTGCCCACTTTGCTCCGCTTTCTCGGCGATCTTCGGCAAACCGCGCGCTCTGTCATTTCCTTTCAGGGCTGAGAAAGGGCGGCATGTTTCAGGGCAAACGCCCTGGACGTCAGCCTGCGGGACTCGGGGGGCCCTGGGGCCGAGGCCCCGCCGCCCCGCCCTGCGCGCCTGTCCACTCCCGGTGGCGCTCCGCAGGCCGGCGCGGCGGGGCTTCCAGGGGACGGGGAGCCTTCGGCCCGGCCCTGCGGGGCCCTCCGCCGTCGCCGGGAGCGCGGGGTCCGGCGTCGGGGTTACGTTGAGCCTGCGGCTGGCCCGCTTCTTGCGGGTGTAGACCCGTAGCGACCACATTGCCACCCCACCACCAGGCCTCGGGGACTTGTGGGCCCCCAACGGCCTGTCTCGTTGCCTTGCTGAGGAAGCGAGCCTCAGCCGGAGGGCGTCCGGGTCCGGGGGCGAGTGCGAGTGCGGGAATGGCTGGAGGAGCCGCCCAAGAAGAGAAGGCGAACTTAGGGGGAGCAGCAGGCCCTCCTCGCCGACACCGAGGCTGGACTGCAGCCGCCCGCCGGGCTCCCGCCTTTTTATCTCGGCTCAGCTGCGCAAAGGCTTCTGGGATATCGGAGAAACGCCCGGCGCCGCGAACTTGGCGGTGAGTTGTGCCCATTGGGCGCAGAGGCAGCCTCCTCGCCCTGTGCTGGAGGGAAGCTTATTGAAAAAAGCTTTTTTTCTCATCCAAGGGGCTGCCCTTTTGTTTCTCAATTTTCCCGTCGGTCCGATGGACCCAACAAGCACATGCTCCTGATGCCTTGGCCGCTCTTCTTATCAACACGCAGTAAGGCCCTGGTAGTGGAGTTTCAGGTCTCTGGGCACAAGGAGTCTAGCTGGGGCTCAGCCTGACTTGGTGCAGCAAGGTCAGAGAGGAAGGAGAGCACGTTAAAGCAACAGAGAGTGTCTTCCTGAGCAGTTTCAGTCCCTAGGCTGCCAGTTTCTTAGGGGTGGGTGTCGGGGGTGGTCATGGTACTTGAGAGTCTAACCAAGCATTTGAAGATCTTGGGTTCCAGGAGGTTTTTTCTTAAAGACAAACAGAATCCGTAGCCCCTGCCCAGGAGCTACCTCCTGGACATCTGGGCAGCCTTGTGGTCAAGGCAGAGAAGTACACATGGACTCCACTCCTAGTCCCTAGGGTGCAGCTCCTTTGCTCCAAGCAACTGGAAGGACTTAGGATTGATGCCCCTCTCTCTGTAAATCCAGGCTGAGGCGTCTGGCTCCATCTGATAAGCATATTGTGCACATCTTATTTTAAATATGGCAGTTCACATTTAAAAATGCATTTGTAGAGATGAAGTTATGAAAACTCAAAGACTTTTTCTTTGATGCTCTGAGATACTGTGTGTGACTATAAACACATATAGAGCCACAATATTTTCATAACAAAATCACTCTTATTTAAAATCTGTTCATAGAAAGTCACTTAGGACCACCAATTTAATATATAATGAATCATTAAAACTTTGTAAAGAACAGAAGATAAGCATTCTTACCTGATGAGATACAGTGCTCTGAGTCACTGAATCAACACTTAGCACCTTACTCTGTGTCCGCATTGCGGTAGGTGATTCACCTGGGGATACAGGTGAATTAGAAATGGCTCTTCAATTAAGGATCTCACAGGTGTGTTGTAGTGCAAAGCAACTATCATATTTCAACATCCTTTCTTTAGTAACATCCCTAATGTGCTGACAGGCAGTTTCTAGCTTACAAGCCAGGTCTCCAGGTTCCCCTCTCTCCTTTTGGGGGCTGCTGTGAAAAAATACTTGGAGTTTTTAAATGACCTCTGAGAGGTCTGGTCCTGGAAGCCCTAGGTCTAGAAAGGGAAGAAACTTTGAAAAAGGAAAACAGTGTAAAGCAAAAGCTGATCTGCCCTTTGGTGGCCTCATTCCCTAGAACTCTGTCTCACTATACTGAATTACACTCACTGAAGTGCCATCAAGTAAAGATTTAAGGGAGTTAATGCATGGGGTTCCAAACCTGGAAATACCCTTTGGTATGATTTCTTGAGTGAAAGGGGTCCTTAGAGATGATCTAGTTGCCTCCTCATTTTGCAGCTGAGGAAACCACAGCTCAGGGAGGCTTGTTATGACAGATGGTTGGCATAGCTGGTGTGGATCACCAGGCATTTGGCTGGTGTTCTTGTTATGCTCCCATTCCTCCTAACATATGGCTGGAAAAGGGATGTGAGGACAAGGAAAGGAGCCTGAAGCCCTTGGTAGCAAAGGGAGGGGAAGGACCTACAGACAGACTTGGTCTGTTTAAAGCTTCACCTAGAGCCAGCCTATAAAAGCAGAAGGAAATGTGTCCCCTACAAAAGGGTGAGGTAGAGCAGAGACATCTCAACTCAGTTCTCTTATCACATCACCCCCATTCCATCCCCAAATACACACATGCTGGTGCAAGCATTCAGCCATGAGTGTTCAGTTGAACTCCCATTTCCCTGTTGCATGGTTGCACTATGTAACAGATATAACCAGACTCAGAATTCTATCAGTGTTTCAGTTCTGTCTTGTGATGGGTTTGACTAGGTTTGGAACAGTCACAGACATGCTAACTTCCACTGGAAAACAAATGCCAAATTTCGAAGAATTTTGAAGAAAGCTTTTTGGAAAACAGTTCAGAGGTTTAGGATTCCCTGGAGCCCAGAGGCTATCTTTCTGGATGTTTTCTTATGGAGTGGCCCATGCAGCAGCCTTATTTGTGGCACTACAGGCTCCAGGGTCCACCTGAAAACCAATGTCTCTTTGCTTAGTTGACAAGAATTGGAAAAGTCATGACGATAGAGGAAATGTAACTTCAGGCACTGTAGTCTCAATGCTGTTAAACATACAGAAGAGGGCAAAGGCAATTTTCATTCAATAGACATTTCCTGTGCATCCACTGTGGGCCAGACCTCTGTTCTAGGGCAGTCTGAGTGGGAGTAGGGCGTAGGGAAAATCAGCCAGGCAGCCATGGGCAAGGCTTCTCAGAGGAAAAGATAGTTGATCTGAGTTTTAGGAGCTGAATGGTAGGAGTTAGACAGGAGGAATATAATAAAGAAATGGCATTCTGTGAAAAGGGAAGCATATGTGCTACATGGAGGCACAGGAAAGCATGATGTTTTTAGGACACTACAAAGATAGTGGGTATGATTGGAGCCAAGGCTCCATGGGGGAAGGGCTGGAGAAGGGACCCTGTGTGCTGAACCAGAGTCTGAACTTTATCCTGGCAACTGGGAAGTCATCCAAGGAATATTAAGCAGGAGAGTGGCATGATCAGATTTTCGATTTAGGAAGAGCGCTCTGACTGAAATGTGGGTGGTGAACTTTGAGGAAGCTGGGGTGGAAAGAGGAAGACTAATTAAGAAAGCCTGTTAATACTGCAGACAGAGCACAGGGGCCCCAACTACATGAAGAGCTGTGAGAACGGAGAGTCAATACATAGAGAAGGCAGAATCTGCACTACTTAGAGGCGGAATGTACCATTTTAAGAAAGCGTACCCTGGGTAAAGGACATGGAGATACTGTTTAAGGGCCATCATGATGGAAAATTTGGATACAGTTATTTCTTCTAAAAATATAAAAATGATTTAAATTCAGGACACATTTGGTAATAGCAAAGGAGAGTGTCTCTGTGGGGACCATAAGTCTTTGGAGTTTGGGGACCCTTACAGAGGATGTAGAATATGCAAGCTAGTGATACAGCTTGATATCATGTTTACCATAAACATTATGATCACAATGATCACCAGATATACTTAAACCACGGCATTATGTTATCTAAGTATATAAAATAGTAATTATAAGCAACTTTGACAAATGAAAAATTTTTATTGTTTACAAAAGTTTTCATAAATGCATTTTATATTTGATATGCATGCTATTATAACAAAGCAACTAAAAATATAATTACAATTAAGATACTTTTAAGCATATTTAAAAGGTAGTATCAATTGTTAAAGACTGAAAGAATAAGCAGTTCTTCAAAAAATGTCCACCTTTCCCCCATGCAATTGTTGCCATGACTTAACAAGGAAAATTAATCAATCAAATGAATGTTTAAAAGCCACTGTCACCTCATGAAAACCTTTTCAGTGTGGGACTAAGTTTAGAAATGCCTGCATTCCAGGTATTTATCTATTGCCTCTGAGTTATAACCATTCATGCATTCTAACTGAAGAGTTTCTCATTTAGGGCTTTGTCCTCACTTGAATGCTAATCTCCCATTCTTGCTGCAATTAATTGTAGATTCACAGAAAGGACTGTGCAGCATACCTGACTGAAAATTCGGACTACCAGGACCATTGATTTCTTTTCATGTATATGCTTTCTTAGAAATAGGCAAGAAAAGATAGCAAATTAGCTCAACATACAGTTTATCAGTTTTATACATGATTATTTGTTCTTTTTTTCCTGAGATAGTAAGCAAGTTTGTAAGCAGTCTATTGTCATGCAAAAATAAATTTTTTCATTCTTTACATTCATTTCATTTTTTTGTATTCTAAATAACTGTATCACATTTGTGCTTTATACATCTGAGAAAATAATAATTCATTTTCTTTACTGCAGAAAAATAAAAGATTATTGGTTCTTTGATGGGTAATACAATCAAATTAAGTGCTGGCTTCAAGTTACTAAAACATCACGACTACAAAAACTGCAATTTCCAGTTTTACCTTTTCTCATGCTTGCAGTTTTACCTAAATTTAGAATGAAAGGTCGACTTGTTCATATGCAAGAGTCATGGTTGTTTATTTCTTGGACTTCTCAGTTTGTGAGTTTCTAATACATGGTGCTAGGCCTCTACACACCTGGTCAGTTTCCTCTCTCACCTGGAGGGGAATCACAATATAAAGATGTCTTTTATGGCAAAAGGAAAAAATATTGCTGTATATTCTATTTTATAACATACACGAGATTAGTTTGTAAAATGTGAGAATTACTAACACATTCGAATGCCAAACAAGTAAGTAGTCAAACATTTAACCCAAGAACATACTTATGCTTAAGTAATTGGTCTGTTATACCTCTAGACTTAAATCAGATCTTATGTCCATGATGGTAAACATCTGAAAGTACATAGACTTTTCTATATTGGTTAGAGAGAAATACAAACTTTTTTTCCACCAAAATAAAGTTGGGAAATCTGAAATAAGGATTTTTCCATTAATACATATTGTTTCACTTCTCTTTTATTAAAAAAATTCAGTGAAGTTGAACAGAGGATTAGATACATGTACATGTAAAATAGTTAATGTCCACTGTTTACTCTTCTTAGCACATCTGTAGTGACCTATTTATTGGCCCAAGTGTGATGATTTTTGCATAAAAGATAGGAAAGTTAATAGAAACAAGATCTTTAAAGTGAGGGAAAAAACTGAAGTTGGCCATAATCAATCTTATCTAACTACTGAGGTATAAATAGAATCAAAATAAGTTTTAATTTATTTGCTTATATTACATTGTTCAAAATCCTTTTGGAAACAAATTATGAAATTGTAGTTGAGTGGAAGGACAATGGAAAACAGCTTCATTTTTCTTCAAAATATGAAGCAACTTGCCTTTAAAACATTATGTATATCCAATTTAGGTATGATTTTCTCTTATTTAATCATATACATATTAAATATAAAAAAATAAATGCTATATCGATGTGGCCTTGGACATTTGCAGAATTTGTTTATTCAGAAATGCCTTTAAAAAACATGAATAGAACTAGCTCATTTACTAAAAGTCAAATTTGTTAAGTGTAAGCATTGGGTCTGCGGAGAGAATACAACAAATGAATATGTAAAAGATTGCATAAATACATCAAGTGAAGCCGGTGTCCACTTTTGCCAAGCCTGAATGTAACTGTATATGCAGATTCATCCAGTAGTAAGACTGTGATTATGTAGTTTTTAATCAATACAATTTATTTAAGTTTGAATTTTCTTCAGGGGTAAGGAATGTCTGGGCTGTGAACACTGACCCCTTCTCTACAGAAGAAAACACTCACAGATGGTTCTTCTGCAGAAGTGTGATCTGTAGCTTGGAACTTGATTGCTGTCTGTGCTGGGCTTTAATTATATGAAATATGTCTAAACACATAATGTAAGAGAGGATGCTTCCAAGGTTAAGCTTAGAAGTATTTAAAGATTTTATATTATCCTTAAGGAGATATTTCTCTGTAGTGGACTTAGAACAGTTTTCTAGGGGTATTTTGAAGAGGTTCTTCAAAATTATGCTGTTGAAAAATTATTTTATTTGTAATTAGCATCCCCTCCTCCCTACATCCTGCCTTGATAGTCTTATTGAAAGAAAGTGACATTGTTCAGAATTATAGCCATACTACGTTTCCCAGGCCTGGCATGGTCATATTGAGAATGGAAGATTGGAAGAAGCCAGCAAGGAACATAAGTACATTAATTGCTGCCCACCCTGAGAAATAATTCTGGTTTTTTTCTCCAAAGTCTTCCCCAAAGGTCCCTACATTGTAGAGTCTACAGATATGTTTTAGAATTCATGTGGTAAGAAGTCCATGAATATTCACACACTACCCTTGAAGTAGTTACATATTGCATTTTTTTAGGCAGCTCCTGAATATTTTAATGGGCTTAACAAATGAGACAATTTACTGAAAGTTCTTTGTGGATTGTTATGTAAATATAACATTTCTCTTAATTATAACAAAGCAACTAAAAATATAATTACAATTAAGATACTTTTAAGCATATTTAAAAGGTAGTATCAATTGTTAAAGACTGAAAGAATAAGCAGTTCTTCAAAAAATGTCCACCTTTCCCCCATGCAATTGTTGCCATGACTTAACAAGGAAAATTAATCAATCAAATGAATGTTTAAAAGCCACTGTCACCTCATGAAAACCTTTTCAGTGTGGGACTAAGTTTAGAAATGCCTGCATTCCAGGTATTTATCTATTGCCTCTGAGTTATAACCATTCATGCATTCTAACTGAAGAGTTTCTCATTTAGGGCTTTGTCCTCACTTGAATGCTAATCTCCCATTCTTGCTGCAATTAATTGTAGATTCACAGAAAGGACTGTGCAGCATACCTGACTGAAAATTCGGACTACCAGGACCATTGATTTCTTTTCATGTATATGCTTTCTTAGAAATAGGCAAGAAAAGATAGCAAATTAGCTCAACATACAGTTTATCAGTTTTATACATGATTATTTGTTCTTTTTTTCCTGAGATAGTAAGCAAGTTTGTAAGCAGTCTATTGTCATGCAAAAATAAATTTTTTCATTCTTTACATTCATTTCATTTTTTTGTATTCTAAATAACTGTATCACATTTGTGCTTTATACATCTGAGAAAATAATAATTCATTTTCTTTACTGCAGAAAAATAAAAGATTATTGGTTCTTTGATGGGTAATACAATCAAATTAAGTGCTGGCTTCAAGTTACTAAAACATCACGACTACAAAAACTGCAATTTCCAGTTTTACCTTTTCTCATGCTTGCAGTTTTACCTAAATTTAGAATGAAAGGTCGACTTGTTCATATGCAAGAGTCATGGTTGTTTATTTCTTGGACTTCTCAGTTTGTGAGTTTCTAATACATGGTGCTAGGCCTCTACACACCTGGTCAGTTTCCTCTCTCACCTGGAGGGGAATCACAATATAAAGATGTCTTTTATGGCAAAAGGAAAAAATATTGCTGTATATTCTATTTTATAACATACACGAGATTAGTTTGTAAAATGTGAGAATTACTAACACATTCGAATGCCAAACAAGTAAGTAGTCAAACATTTAACCCAAGAACATACTTATGCTTAAGTAATTGGTCTGTTATACCTCTAGACTTAAATCAGATCTTATGTCCATGATGGTAAACATCTGAAAGTACATAGACTTTTCTATATTGGTTAGAGAGAAATACAAACTTTTTTTCCACCAAAATAAAGTTGGGAAATCTGAAATAAGGATTTTTCCATTAATACATATTGTTTCACTTCTCTTTTATTAAAAAAATTCAGTGAAGTTGAACAGAGGATTAGATACATGTACATGTAAAATAGTTAATGTCCACTGTTTACTCTTCTCAGCACATCTGTAGCGACCTATTTATTGGCCCAAGTGTGATGATTTTTGCATAAAAGATAGGAAAGTTAATAGAAACAAGATCTTTAAAGTGAGGGAAAAAACTGAAGTTGGCCATAATCAATCTTATCTAACTACTGAGGTATAAATAGAATCAAAATAAGTTTTAATTTATTTGCTTATATTACATTGTTCAAAATCCTTTTGGAAACAAATTATGAAATTGTAGTTGAGTGGAAGGACAATGGAAAACAGCTTCATTTTTCTTCAAAATATGAAGCAACTTGCCTTTAAAACATTATGTATATCCAATTTAGGTATGATTTTCTCTTATTTAATCATATACATATTAAATATAAAAAAATAAATGCTATATCGATGTGGCCTTGGACATTTGCAGAATTTGTTTATTCAGAAATGCCTTTAAAAAACATGAATAGAACTAGCTCATTTACTAAAAGTCAAATTTGTTAAGTGTAAGCATTGGGTCTGCGGAGAGAATACAACAAATGAATATGTAAAAGATTGCATAAATACATCAAGTGAAGCCGGGGTCCACTTTTGCCAAGCCTGAATGTAACTGTATATGCAGATTCATCCAGTAGTAAGACTGTGATTATGTAGTTTTTAATCAATACAATTTATTTAAGTTTGAATTTTCTTCAGGGGTAAGGAATGTCTGGGCTGTGAACACTGACCCCTTCTCTACAGAAGAAAACACTCACAGATGGTTCTTCTGCAGAAGTGTGATCTGTAGCTTGGAACTTGATTGCTGTCTGTGCTGGGCTTTAATTATATGAAATATGTCTAAACACATAATGTAAGAGAGGATGCTTCCAAGGTTAAGCTTAGAAGTATTTAAAGATTTTATATTATCCTTAAGGAGATATTTCTCTGTAGTGGACTTAGAACAGTTTTCTAGGGGTATTTTGAAGAGGTTCTTCAAAATTATGCTGTTGAAAAATTATTTTATTTGTAATTAGCATCCCCTCCTCCCTACATCCTGCCTTGATAGTCTTATTGAAAGAAAGTGACATTGTTCAGAATTATAGCCATACTACGTTTCCCAGGCCTGGCATGGTCATATTGAGAATGGAAGATTGGAAGAAGCCAGCAAGGAACATAAGTACATTAATTGCTGCCCACCCTGAGAAATAATTCTGGTTTTTTTCTCCAAAGTCTTCCCCAAAGGTCCCTACATTGTAGAGTCTACAGATATGTTTTAGAATTCATGTGGTAAGAAGTCCATGAATATTCACACACTACCCTTGAAGTAGTTACATATTGCATTTTTTTAGGCAGCTCCTGAATATTTTAATGGGCTTAACAAATGAGACAATTTACTGAAAGTTCTTTGTGGATTGTTATGTAAATATAACATTTCTCTTAAGAATATCTGAATTTTCATTTTTCATGAATAAAAGTAAAAATTGGAGAGAAAACTTTCACATCAATAAAGATTGTCATGTTGAGAGAGTCTGACGATATGTAGAAGTGAGTTATGCTTTGTTTCAGCATGATTCTATACACCTAATTTTAATTTTTTAAGTCTGATTTCATTGAGATTTTGACAGTCAGTTTCTGAATGAGGTAGTCCACATTGCCCTAGCTATTCACTGTTTCTGGTTACTATTCCACAAATTAAGTACAGTATATCAGTTATGTTTTTCCTTTATGTTTAATAGGAGTTCTATGAACATTGAGAATATATTACTTTTAGTGGTACACAGTTCTTGAGAAGAGTCTTGATTTTTACATTGCCATTGTGATATTTTTAGCAGCTTGTTACAATGTCATTTTAATAAAAAATAAAGTGTACTCGGTGATGATAGAGAAAATATTGTTAAAGACATCTTGGGACAGGAAAAGGCTCAGTCTTAAGGTCACGTGCTCATTCTTTTTCAGCTGCATCATTCTGATTCATTACTTTCAAGAATAACTATAGTATCACTACACAGTCCATTATGCTGAGAAGCACTTTCCTTGAACTTCACATGGAGACTGAGTAAAGCTCTTCTATCTGCTTTTTGAAGTACTCTCTCAGCTCAGGTCTCTTGGCCTTGAGTGTTGGTGTCAGCAAGCCATTTTGAACTGAGAACATGTCAGAGTGGATGTGAATGGCTTTAACCTAAAAACCAAATGCAGAATACATCTTTATCAGGAATATAACACAGCATTTATAGCATACACGAGAAAGTAAACAGGTATGTGGGAATAGATATATATCGATATAAAAACACTATGCCTAATTAAAAGTCAAAACTATGTTAATAACCTTTTAGCCTATTGGACATGTTTGAAAGCCACTGTTTTTCCTTCTTATGTCATCATTTGGCCAGTCAACAGAAATGCATTGGTTGCCTACTCTGCACCAGGCACTGAGGGTCCGTCCACAGGGGAATCATAAGTGCCCTGCCCACAGGGGGTGCACATGGGTATCCAGCAATGCAGACACACAGGGAACTCCTTAGACAGCGTGAGTGTGCACAGGATAGACAGCACCTCACTCAGCTACGGGAGGGTTGAAGGAGGAGCAATCAGGGAAGCCGACCCAACTCAGGTGGGTGTTAAGGAATGAGTAAGAGTTAACCAGCAGGGGTGGAGGTGGGTGGAGAAGGGCATTCTAGGCAGAGGCAAAGCCAAGAACAAAGCTATGGGAGAGTGTGAGAAAGCAAACCCAAGCGGTTTCTTGTAGTTACATAAAGTAAATGGGAAAGAGGGTGAGAGATGAAGCTGAAGTGGTAGACGGGACAGTTCATAAAGGAGCTCAGACTTTATGCAGGATAGGAGGGGGGGACTGAAGGTTTTTTTACAGGACAATGATATGGAAGAACACACATTTTAGATAGAGCTCTCCAAAAGAAATATGAAAATGGTTTTTAAGAACATTAAGATCGGAAGCAGGAAAACCAGTCAGAAGGATCTGGCTGATCCACAGGAGAGAAGATAAGGGCCAGTGGTACAGACAGAGACAAGCAGTTCTAAGAATGATGCAGATAAATGGGCAAGACATAAAGAGCGAGGCAGTCTCGAGGACTCTCAGGTTTCTGGCTTGGATGTCTGCATGGATGATGGGGCCATTTGCAGGAGGAATATACTCTCTAGGGAAGCATGATGAAAAAAAAGTTTTTCTTTTATCATGTCTATTAGAAGGAGGTATGAAGGAATCAGACTTAGCATTCACATTCCTAATTCCATGAGGCAGACCCCAGTCTTACCCACACAGTCTCTTTGCACAGGTGAATGGGGGGCCAGAGAGACAGATGAACTAATCTAGGAGGGCCTGGACAGGCTCCTCCAGGTGGGGCTCCAGCTGAAAAGACCACTGTCCGTTCTATGAGAATTTTATGATCTGGGCTTGAGCTGAATCCTGGAGTGACACTATCTCCAAGAAATTGTATCCTGACTGACAGCTAAGTCAAAATTCAATGTTGAGATAGTAGACTCTATCATTAAATAACAAGCAGGGTTATGAATTGCTATAATAGACTTTTAAAAAGTATCAATCATCTACACTTCTGAAAGACACTGTCATGGACCTGAGGCACAGAGACAGAATGTGAATACAAATGCCACTTGCTAAACTTTCAGGCCATTTGTCCCTACATGCACTCTATTCAAAGAGTTGTTCTAAAATGCAATTTTGAACTGAAATAACACCTTTTCTCAGAATCCACTGGCAGAGAAGCCAATGTAGAACCAGTAAGAATCACACGAAATCTTAATTACTTACTCTCTAGGGATGTGACAGACCTTCAAAATTTGATTCAAATATATTTGTGAAACACACATATACCTTCATTTCTTGTTTTGTATGATTGCTATTTATTGAGCAACTGTTATGTTTTAGGTATTGTGTTAGGCACCAGGGATACAAAGAACAAGATACAGTCCCTGCCCATGTGGAGCTTACAGCCCCAAGAGAAAGGCTGCACTATGGCGCTGCTCCTATAAGGACAAACAGACAGCACTGCTGTTGATACCCAGTAAAAAAAAAAAAAGCCATTTGCTTTCCCAGTACCCACTCCCTACTTCTTCCATGCTAATAGAACCCTGATTAAGTTTGAGGTCAAATGGTCTCTGTCAATCATGACGATCCTGTTCCCTCATTTCCTAGCCTCCCTTGCAGCTAGGAGGTAGCCATGAGATCCATTTTTGACTAGTGAGAAGGGAAAGTTCTTGCTTTCTTATTAAAGGTTCAGACATAGCTATTTCTACCCACCCTCATTTTTTTCTTCTTTGAATATGGACAATGTCCAAAGCTATAGCTTTAAGTGATAAGCCACTGTATTAAGAATAGAGAGAGAAAAAGGCAGAGCCTAGGTCTTTGAGGACCCATATCTGCACCAGACTGCCGCTCTTTGGTCTTCCTACATGGGAGAAAACACACAAACACACCCTATATGTCACTGTGGGTTTTCTGTTGGAGCTGAATGGATTTCTGATACAGCACCCCCACCCAGGCTTGGGCAGGATTCATTGAAAAGGTCTGTGTGAGTTGAACTCTGACAGATAAGTAGGCTTTAGCCAGAGGAAGATGGCAAGGGGAAGGGGGAGTCCTTGTTATATGGCCTGAGGAGAGGAGGGTGCTCCAGGCAGAGGTGCATGTGCCAAAGCACATCTGGGCATTACAAGTGTAGGCTGAAAGATATGGTACAAATGAAGAGAGGGCTGAACAGACAGATGGGAGCCAAATTATAAAGGATCAATATGTCAACATAGAGAATTAGACAAGATTCTTTAAACAATTTTTAAGCAGTAAGAGACAGACCCAGAATGGCTCTTTGGCAAGATTTCTATGTTAAATAAATTGAAGTGAGGCAAAGGGAAACTGGAAGACTATCTAAGAGACAAAATTGATGGTGATTCATGCTACAAAGTTGGCTGTGGGGATGGAAATAGATTTTGGAGTGTAGAAAGGACAGGACTTATAATTTGGTTGGTAAGTGGTAAACAGGTAATAAGAACAGCTTCTAGGTTTTTGCTTGAGCAGAAAAATGAGGAGGAGCAGAAAGATCCTGCAGTAGTGAAGTATTCATGTTAAGTTTGAAATGCTTCTGAGACATTTCTCAGAATCAATGTATGTACCACCTCACACCCATTAGGATGGCCATCATCCAAAAAACTGAAAATAACAAGTGTTGGGTGAGGACATAGAGAAATTAGAACCCTTGTGCACTGCTGGGGAGACTGTAAAACAGTACAGGTGCCATGGAAAACAATATGGCAGTTCCTCAAAAAACTAAAAATAGAACTACCATATGACCCAGCATTTCCACTTCTTGGTATATACCCAAAAGATGTGAAAGCAGGATCTTGAAAAAATGTTTTTGTATATCCATGTTCATATCAGCATTATTAACAATATCTAAAATATGGAAGCAACACAAATGTCTGCTGACAGATGAATGGATAAGCAAAATGTGGTATATACATACCATAGAGTATTACTTAAAGAGTAAGGAAATTCTGACACATGCTACAATATGGATGAACCTTAAGGACATTATGCTCAGTGAAATAAGCCAGTCACAGAAAGACAAATACTGTATGATTCTTCTTATATGAAGGATGGAGAAGAACGAAGTCATAGAGAGAGTAAAATTGTGGTTGCAAGATGCTGGTGGGGGTATGGAGCAGGGGATCTGGAGTTACTGGTTAATGGATACAGACTTTCAGTTTTACAAGATGAAAAGAGATGGATGGTGGTGATGGTTGTACATCCTTATGAATGTATTTAATACCACTGGGCTGTACACTTAAGAAGAGTTAAGATGGTAAACTTTATGTTATGTGTATTTTTCCACAATAAAAAACTTGGGAAAAAAACCAATGTATGCAAATAGTTGCAAAATGTTCAATACGTCAGTGATTGTTTTCAGAATCTCTGATGCTAACCCTCTAGTGTCCTGGCAGGTGGGTATTTTTTGATGGCAAAGAATTCTTTGTTCAGTAACTCTCCATTAGATTCACTGACTTACAGTTCAAAAACACAAGAACAACAAAACACAACTACACTTCCAACTCTTCAGAAGCTTTCAAGAAAAATTCTAACAAATTCTGGCATTTTAAAAACCTCTATTTATTTTAAAATACAACTTTTAAAATGAGCACACCACTAGTAAATCAGATGCTCTTTGTGTATTAGAAGTTTGTTGAAATGAAGGGTTCACTTTTCTAGAAAAAGAATAGCATTTAAGGTTTTCATGGTGGCGGGGGAGGGACATTAGACTAAAACTAGAACTAGCATTATAGGTGGCTGCCTAAACTTTACTTCACACACGGAAAGGATTTCTACTTGGACATCCGATATAAATAGCTGGAAATCTGAGGCTTTTGGCTAAAAACATTTATCAAATGTTTCAAAATTAGTTAAGTTCTTGTAAAAAGTGTTTTGCTTAAAAATTCAGTGTTCTTGATATTCAAAGCAGCATGGATTTGGTAAGGAACAGGCTGCCATGTTTTTGTACCCTCTGGAATATAATTTTATCCTAATTTGTTTTTATCAAGCAGAAACTATTCTAGGGGACCCAAATCCACAGGAGACAGGTCCCAAGGGAGACATTTTCAGCCCATCATGCTCTGAGAATGAGGAGCCCTGCAGAGACCACTGCCAGGGATGTGTATGGGGCTGTGGACGGACGGGGCCGGAAGAGCTGGTGCAGAGGCAGAGGCGTGAGGTGATTGGGTTGCAGGGGTGGGGCCTAAGGCAGGCTCTGGCTTAGGCCCCGGACCCACCGGAGCACCCTGCTCTCATGTTCTGTGCATGCTCAGCTCCCTGTAAGATGTCATTTACATTATGCTCATCCAAATTTGAAAGTCACCGTTTGACAACCAGACTCGTTAACTGGAAGAAACCATGAACACCTAAATCAAACTTTATCTTAGAAACAGTGATTTAACTTAGTTACTCATTTTTACTGTCATAAAACAAAAACCTGAAAAAATGACAGTGCTAACACCATTAACTTCTTTTTTAAATAGTTCTCTGCTGATAGAAACAGTATCTCACAGACTTTTGGTAAGTGCAAACCATCTATCCACCTTCTTTTGTAAATAAAATTAATAATATGGCTTCAAAGGAGACTCAAAGGCTAAGATCTAATTCCTACAGCATCTGCCTGGGTTTCAGGTCATCTGAGATCCTAACAAGCACACGGAGAACACTGTAACTGGGACAAGAGTCTACGGGGAAAAGGACAAGCCGACATCAGATTATGGATCAATTCAAATAATTTATGCTGAGTTTTGGATCTGGCAGCCCACCCTTCCGGGAGCATGAGGCCTGGTGTTGGCCCTCCTGTGGTCAGTGGAGGGCACACATCAGCTGTGGAAGGGAGGACGCCACAGACCAGCAACGAGGAAAATGAGAAAAGAGCACATGAAGAGGCGACAGCCCTGGCAGCAGGATTCAGGCCTCTGGGGCGCCAGCTGACGTCTCTGCATTTGATGTTACCATGGTGAGGGCAGATTAGTAGAGCAGAAACCCTGCTTTGAGGCATATGTTAAGAATACATCTCTCAGTCAAAGCTCTAACTTGACTGATGGTTAACACAGGAAATTTACCCAAAGGTCCCTTGTGAACATAATCTTAAGAGTCCTCTTTTCCATCTAGATGTTAGAGTCTCCACGTGGCCTAGGGGAGATGCCTGGGGCATAACCCGCATACCCAACCCAGCAGAGGGCAACTCCAGGAACTAATAAGAGGTTTAGGCAGTCTCGTCCCCAGGCCCCAAACTGTGCAGTGTCTGTACAGCCAGCCATGGAGATCCACACCAGCCACGTCGCAAACCACCCATTTGTGGCCCCTGCTCTACATGATCACATGATCCAATTACACAGTCCCCCTTATTGGAAAGGCAAAGAAGTTAGTTCTAGTAAATTTAGGAAGTTAAATAATTATTATGCAGGAATTGACCTTTCACTCAGAAAGATAAATACAACTTGTTGGAATGCCTCCGACTTCATAATTTTTTAAAACGAGGACTAAATTAAAAAATATTAAAAATTGAAAAATTGAAAATTAAAAAATATTCATCCAAGCTTTATTTGCCCTAAACCATGCTGACAGATGTGGATAAAGCAGTGTTTCTCACACTAGATTACTGGAAAGATCTGTTTCAAGAAGAAAAACAATCTCTCAGACCCTGAAACTTTGTTTGGATTTCCTCTGTTTGAAACTTAAGATATTTATATTAAAGTCTGTATCTGTGGAATTGTTTTTAAATTGCTAATAATTGCGGTAAGACTTTTCTATTTAAAACTAGTTTTAAAATGTTTTCAGGTTATCACCAAAATGAATACACAAAATTGAACATTCTCAGAAACCTCCCAGATTCCAAACAAAATTTTATGTAAAACCATTATATTAAATACATACTAGGAAATTTTAAAGATCAGTATATTAAAGATAAGAAAAGCAATGTTTTTCTGTTTGAAGAATTTTTCTTTCTGAGTTTTGGACTAATGAGGATGTATACATGTAATACATGAGTAGGACCAAGTATGAACTCAGTTACCATAAGAACCCCTAATTTTGCAAAGACAGAAAGAAAGTCTTAGATGCTGTGTCATCAGCCTGCACATTCTTTGTTTCATCCTCTTTGTAGAGGGCTTGCTGGACTGACAGACCATTGGCCTGAGGAGGACAGCCTTTCCATATCCCAGCAAGAAAGCTTGCCTGCTGAAGCCAGGAAGACAGTGCCCCAAAATAAAAATAAGTTAGGACTCTGGTCATAAGTATTGCAGGCACCTTGGAGATAGACAATGTACACATGCTCTACTAGTGATGGGCAGGGTAACATTTCAGCTCTACGAGCTCTGTCTATGAGGACAACACGCCCAGTCTCACTTGACATATGGCCTTTGTTAGTGTAGGATGCAGGCTGTTGCAGAGTCAGCTTGGAACAGGCCCTCAGGGGCCTGCTGGTACACAGCCTGCCTGCAGGCCCCAGCACAGAGGGTGCGGGAATCTAGGTCAGGGTCACTGTGGCTTAATTTAATTGTCATCACTATATAAAGGGCTGTAACATGTATGAAGAAGGTAACAGTTACCTGTTCAAAAGAATGGAGTCCACTTTCTTTGCCTAACCTCACCAAATCTTCCAAGATGGCTTTCTTCAGCTCCTGAATCGAACCATACAGGTAAAATTACCAGGAAAAACACATTTCAAGATGGAGGTGGTAGGAACAGTGAGCTCTGAGCAAAGTACAACTGGCCAATGCGCTCTCCCCCTCCACCAGCTGGGGCTGATGCTCCCTGGCAGTGTGCACGTCACCACCTCCTATCAGGCAAGGCGGTGCCAGGCATGACCCAAAGGTGACCAGGAACAGGCTAAGGGACCACTTGATTTTTAAGTGGCCCTCTTGTCAACCTGGTGAGGCCCAGGGGCCCTGCCACCCCCAGCATAGCCCAAGGCCCAGGAGGGTGCTAGGGTCCATGATGGCTGCTGAGAAGTGACCATGTGACTGGAGAGGCCAACGCTGACCCACAGTACAGAGATCCTCTTCCCCGGGACCCTACACGAGCCATGAGGTTCCTGGAAGGTGTGAAAGGCTAATGCTCTCGACGTTAGCCAGAATGTTAGCAAGAACTGTGCTACTTCTTCAGTTCCATGACTGTGTCTCTGAGCCTAGTAGATACAAAATCACCTCACGTTTGGAGAGAGCATGGCCAGGGAGTCAGCAGGCCAATGCTTGCATCTGAGCTGTGTGGCCCTTGGTAAGCTCCCACCCCCTCTGGGCTCTCCTGCAAGTGTGAAACACCAGGGCTGGACAAGCTTTCTGTGCTGTCTCCTGGCTCCTTAAGTCGACAGTGCGTCTAACTTTCTAAGATGAAATATGAGGTCATTCAACAATAACAGAATGAACCTCTGGTTTAGGATTCCCACTATTTATAAAATACATTTAGAAATACCCCTATGTGTTCAAATTTCCCTGGTCTACTATTTCTCTGTCCTCTCATTATGAAGTATCATAAAAATCCCAGCAAGCGTTCTGGGAGCAGCGTGGAGGTACAGACCTTATTAGCACAGAGCTCTGCATACGTCCCTTCGATTCCTCTCTTCTGGGCCCAGGAGGGCATGACTTCAGAGTCAGGCACGACAATGCCCACCAAAAAGGCCTGCAGTCCCAGCAAAAGAAAACACTGTCAGGACAGAAGCTTTACAAGTGTTTATTTGTGGTCCGACATGAAAAATAATCTTAGTATTCTCAGACTCCACCCTTTTCCAAAAATAAGTCTATGCCCATGAAATGTCTCCACCAATCTAACACACTCTTGACTGCTTATTTTCTGATATATTTTGCTAGCTCTGTAAGAAAATTAATACAGAATAAGCTTAACAAGATTACAAATCACTAAGACTTCTGTGTACCTTCAGTTCTCATGCCAATATCTTAAATGCATCCGTCTTTAGGATGCTAATCAACCCTATGAACCAAAATACACATATTTGTCAGAATTTCTAGACCACTCTGAAATTGTTTCATCCAGAGGGTCCTCATTTGTGAGGAGCTCCATCTTAATTTTTAAAGCATATTCTTACAAAATACTTTAACAATATTTAATTATTTAAATCCAATAATAGCACAAAATACATTCACAGTGATTTTTCTGACTTCAAATCTAAATGATGTTGAAAGCAAAATATAAATCTTCTCCAAATAATTTAATCCTCACCAGATGACCATATTAGACATATTACCACCAGAACCATTATTTGTGATGCTGTACCCATTTATCTGAAAAGTTCTTTTGCGTATTTCAAAATCAAAACAGGAGCCTCTTATCCCAAAGTTCCTCTTGGAAGTAGGCAGAGCATTAAGTTAAAACTGCTTCATTACTACTACTTCAAGCACCTTGTTTACTTAACTGCAGTTTATCAAACGAGAAGCAATTCAGATTTCTCCTTTTAAAAGGAATTTTTTCTCATGATCAACATGTGGGAGAATCCTGGTGACAATTATTAACAATTAACATGTACCACTTTAATCAAATACCAAATACTTAGGAAATTATTCCCAAACAGGCCCAGTAGGTGCAGGGTGGGAAGGAGGGGCTGATGCGCAGGGGACTCACCTTTAAGCTATCCCCGTGGACATAGATTTGCGCCACAGGCTCGCTCCGAATATAGATGTTCTCAATCTTCTCTGGAGCAACATACTCTCCCTGAGCAAGTTTAAATATATGCTTCTTCCGATCAATAATTTTAAGAGTTCCCGCCTGTGGAGTCGGACAAACAGCATCATAAAAAGAAAACAGTCCTGACTCCCTAGCCTGAACCCCTGGCTCATTAGTGCCCCAGCGCCCCACCCCTGCCCTCTGGAATCTGCCCCTCCATCTGAAGTCTCCATTCTCACAGAGCCACTGTACACCGCAGGTCGACGGCTCCAAGCTCTCGGGGCCCGAAGGGCCCAGTGTCCTTTCTCCTCGGCATTTACCCCATTTCCCCCCTGTCCCCCCGCCCCGGCCAGCCTCGTACCCAGCACCAGGGATTCTCCCCAGAAGGCCCACCTCCCTTCCCATAGGCCCCCCTCACTCAGGCCCTTGTGCGAGCTGCCCCTTTGCTTACCAGCATCTTCAGATTCACCCCCTTAAACCACGCTTGGGCCTCTCGCCCCAGCTACTGCCTCCACAACCCAGGAGCAGCCCCTCCCACCCCAGCAGACCGTGCAGCTTTGGCAGAGGCCCCGGCAACCCCTGCCTGATGAGCCGGATGGCGTTAGGTGCCCTCACCCCTCCAGGGCCTCTGCAGACCACCACTGTGAGCAGTGAGGGCTGGTGCCCTGGCGTCAAGGACCCCCCCCCCCACTCACCTCCCTGACTCCCCTCAGCCTTTCTGGCTTTCCCAGGGGAATGGGTGCACCTGTCTCCATTGGCCAACCCTGGAGCGCTGGCTGTGCTTGGCGGGCCTCCACTGACAGTGTTCCTCAGGGTACCGGCCGCTTATCTCGCCATCGGCTGCCCGCACGCATGTCTCGGCTCCCACCGGGCCTCCTCGGCGAATCTCAGACCCAGGGCCTAGCTATCCTCAGAATGCCTCAGAACCCGCCCCTGGGCCCTGCAGGATGCCACATGCCTCGAAGGAAGCAAATCTTCCTCAAGCTCGTCCTCCTGGTCCCCTCGCCCCAAACCTGGAGATGGCCTTGGTTTCCCTGTCCTGGGGCTTCTAGCAGTCACCATCATCTGTCCTTGCCTGGACGTCCCCTCACATCCACCCCCTTCTCTGTCAAACCACTTCCTCGGGGGTCTCCTGCTTACATTCGGCTCCTGCTCCTGGGGACATCTCTCCGAAAGGGAAAAACAGCAGGGTTCTGCCCCAGCCTGGGCTGCTCCTCCTGCGCCTTCCCTTCCCTGGTCTCTCTGGCTGGTAGCAGCCAAGCCGCTGGGGTGGGGGATCTGCACTACCATTTCACAGATGACAGAAGCGAGGCTGAACGCTGGCAAAGCCACACTACCAGGAGGTAGGTGAACCAGGCTTTGAGGCAGGTCTTTCTGGATCAGAAGCTTAATACCCTTACCTGATCTACTATTTCAAAATAGTACTAATTTAAAAAATTCACTCCAACAGACTGCCTGCCTGCTGCCCTCAGGCACAACCCCAGGTGTGTTACATGAGTTGATTTGTTTGCTTCCCACAACACCCTGCAAGGTGGGTGGTTTCATCCCAGCAGATCCAAGGTTTGGTGGGGCTTCAAGCTTTTTCCAAATTTGAGGGCCCACCCTCTATAAGAAAAATAATACAAAATGAAGTGCAGAGCCTTGGAAGTGAGAGGCCCCTACAGCCTAGGCTTTCTTGGCTGATGGGACGATGCACCTTCTGCCGGTGTCTGGGCCCTGCTGCTCTCCCAGCCTCCCTTCTGCACACCTGTGGGCCCTCAGAACTGCTTGCTTTTCTCCTCTAGTGTCTCTCTGCTCAGCACAGGCTGCCCTGACTGTCCGTCCCACTTTCTCTTCTCCCCTCAGACTATAGCTCATGCCCTGCACCCATGGTCCTCTGCCTCGCCCAAGGTGAGTGTGGCCCTCAGGTCATGCCCAGAACACTGGGCTGGGAACCATCTAAAGATGTGTCCTCTCCTGAGCAGGGTCCTGGGCCCAGGGCACAGAGCTGGATGCATCCGTGTCTGCTGCAGGAATGAGGGTTTCTCAAAGGGAAGCACAGATCCACACCAGGGCAAATCAGCTCACCAGCCCAGATGGCCCTGGACGGCTCAACGGGTTCACATGCCAGATAAACCTATCTCAGTATGTCCACTCCAAACCTTAGCAGCTTCTCAGAGACACAGGAGAGGCTCCTGGGGTAGCTGCGTCAGGCCAGGGCTCTGGTTTTCAGTGACAGGGTCCTTTCCTGTCCTAGCTTTCATCAAAGTATCTTCTGTCAGGCATTGAGCTCAGCACTTTACCCGTGTAACCTCACTTATTCCTCATGACAACCACAGAGGACAGCATCAGATGTTACCAACCCGATTTGACAAATGACAGAAATGAGGCACAATGACTGGGTTTTGGTTAAACCCAGGGGCCACCATGCAAGAATGCCATGTAGCCTTACTCTCTTATTCTGCCAGCGAGTCAGTACGGAGCCCCAGAGATGGAGGGCTTTGCTCAACGTCACGGGAGTGAGTGCTGGCAGAGCCAAAGGACACCTGGCATTCTCCACCCAGGAAAAGCTCCTGGCCCCAGAGTGGATCACATTATGGAAACTCCCCGCCTCAAAACGTCTGGAGCCGTGGGGCTCCATGTGTACGCACCGGCAGCCATTTCCCGATGTCCCCGGTGTGAAGCCAGCCGTCGCAGTCCAGGGCCTCCTTTGTCCTGGCTGGATCTTTCAGGTAACCTTTGAACACGTTTGGTCCTCTCACACATATCTGTGGGACAAACACCGGGTTTCTCTCAGCCCATGGCATAAGGAACCCTGATATGAGCTGGCAGGAGGCCCTGTAGAATAACGTGTGCCAACGTGCTCTGTCCCTCAGGAAATCTGCGGTGGGAGCTGCAGCAATGGAAGCAGAGGACTGGAGAGTCACCGGTGGTCCCAACTGCCTTCTGCCTCCTCTCAAACAGCATCCTCTGCCCTCTCCTCCTACCTTCCCATCTGGCCACCCCAGACCCTCCCCCACCTCTTCTTCCTCCTCTGGGACCCCAGCATTTGGTATATGCTGCTTTGTGACACCAGAGGGGGTCCCACCAGATGTTGATGGCTAGCAGCCTCCACCAGAGGTCCTGAGCCCCCTGCCTCATGACCGGGCAGCATTCCCTTCTGTTCCCATGGAATGAACAAGCACAGGCCTGCTCCACCTACCCCATCTGGCCTGTTTGCAAATGGTCATGTTTCCAGTAGGGCAGATACACAACAGCAGGCCATGCCAGTCAGGGGAAAAAATATGGATTTTTAGAAAAGTTTAGGAATTCCAAATCTTGATTTAGAAGAGCCCCATCCCAGCCTTGGGGGCTGGTTGCTTCATTACCAGGAGAGAAAATGCCAAATTCAGTTGAGTCTAATACATCAGTAAACAAAAGTGACTTTACACATAGGGTGAATGGAAAATATATTATTCCATTTCCATGTTTTTTCCTTTTACTAACTGCAGGGAGCATCCAGAAACATACATGGCTAAATGCCTACGTTTACCTCTCCCTCTCCTTTGCAGGTCCAATAGTTCAGTTCCTCGACATCGATGAGCTTGATATGATTGCAGGGCAGCGGTGCCCCTACATGCCCTGCAACGCCAGAACAACACAGCGCACGTCAGCGCTCTGAGCAACTTCTGCACCGAAGGTGCTCTGTGCCACATAGAACCCCTTGAGTAGTCACGTAAAACCATGTAAAATCCCTCATGTGGTCAAAGCGCAGAATTATGGGTAGAAAGCAATACACCTTCGGGTGGGCATGTGTCACAGGCAAACACCGGTGATAGAACAAAGTTCTGGGAGACAGGAAAGGCCAGTCTTTGCTGGGCCCTTGTTTTACATCTGATTCTTGAGCTGGACAGGCATGTGGGGTCAGCACAACCTGCTGAGGTCTGTGGGGGGCTCATACTCACACCAACCCCAAAGTCAGGACTTTTTATAATAGTGCCCATCTTAAAATATTTTCCCCATTGCGAGCTCACATGTCATGGGTTGGGGATCATAAAATATTTCTTTGTTTCCAGTCACCAGACAGTTGATTACTGTGCATAGTAATCATCTAGAAATCTTATATTAAAATGTAGATTCTGATACAGTAGGTGTGGGGTGAGGCCTGAGCACCTACATTTCTTACAGGCACCCGGGCGATGTTGATTCACTGGTCTAGGTGCTATACTTTGAGTAACAAATAGAAAACAAGGATGAGGTGACCTGCCTCCCAAAATTAAGACTTCATACTTCCTTGTTCTTAGATGCTCCAACCACAGAAGTATGTCTAAGTTATATCCTAATAATTGTGCTTGTTACACTGTTCACTGGCAAGGTAGAGGATTTTTAAGCAGGTTCTGTCCAAGGTCCTAAAAGATAAGTAAGCCATGTAGATGAAAAACGAAGTTGTGACATTTTTGGGGTTTTTTTCTTTTACAATATTGTACAGAGTTATCTATCTTCTCCTTGATAGCTTTTGCAAGTTTTATGGTAAGAATAAAAAAGGCAAAACATTGGAAGTTCTACATAGGAAAATGGAGAGGATGACATAAAAGGGAAGAAAGAGTCCAAAAGGAAGGAGGTAGGTACAAGTCATCAGTAAATATGATGGCAGTGATAAGAAAAAAGCTAGTGAGCTGGGACCTCAGAAGACAGCTCATGTAGTAAATTTGCCAGGAGTAGAGAGATCAGAGGACTAATATGCAAAATAGGCTTCGTTCAACTAGAGTTTAAAGAAATAAAACTCAGGAGAAAATTCTTCTGTAGTTGACTTGGCCAAATATGACTTCACTTTAGAATCCTACCATGTTTCTGCTGACTACCCCAAGGGGCTCTGAAAAGAGTATTGCCCTATGGAGCATATTTCTTTTCCGTGCACATCATCCCAAGTTTTCTAGTTTGTAGCTGAGCAGACAAGCATGAAGAGTGGCGCCAGGCTCACAGAGAAAGTCGGTATCCCGAAGGATTCTTTGGCTGAGCATTGTTCAGACTCCTCCCTTGTGTCTGGGGTAAATTTGGTGATGGATAGCACGGAGGCTACCTGCTGCTTCTTCCTTGCCCTGAACGATGAGCCCTGCTAGAAGGAGGAGCTGCTCTTTCTGAGGCTGCCACTTTCTTCTAGACATGACCATCACAGGAGACCACAGCTACCAGAGGGCCTTGGGATCAGCCCTTCAGGCAAGAGTGCCCTGGCTGCTAAGCACTTGCCTCTCCTTAAATCACGTCCAATCCATAGCCTGCTTCCTTCACTCTAAAATGACTATATGCAAGTCTGGGTTCTATTTAGAATTTATAAAATCCAGTATGTTGACATTTACTGATATTATAAGCACTTTCCCACCTGGAGCTGTATTTTGTGATTTACTGTTATTATTAACATGAGCTCTACTTACCTACAAAGAAATAGGAAAATACAAAAAAACAGTAGGAAAGTACAAAAATGTGTAACAAAGAGAACAACAGATCCATAATGCCACAACCCAGGCATAACCAGGATCAGGGGTTTTCATGTTTCTGCTGCTTTTTTCCTAAGGGCCCCTGTAAACTTACATTCCATGAGAAGGATTCAGAAGCCGCTGCTTTAACTCAGCAGTGCCCTGAAGCATCCCCACATCTCCAGGCCTTCCTACCTGAGGTCCAGTCTCCAGGCGTGGTGAAGGTACATCCCGCTGTGCACTCGGTTTGGCCATAACCTTCATAAACCTTCGAGCAAAACAGAAACCTGCAGCACACGCACCTACCGCAGCTGACCAGCAGCCCTTTCCAGCCAGCTAATCCCCCACTGAGCACCCAGCTGCTCTGTGCTGGGGCTGGTGGGCAAGGAGGTGCTCTGGAGGTCGGTAACGCTGAGCACCGGCAAGAGGCGTGGTAAACATTATTGATTTATTTTCCAACACTGGCTCCATTTCTCATTTCAGTAATATGTATGAAGACAAATATTTAAAAATCTATTACATGTCTTGTCTTGACTCTGTAAGATGCTCCCATCCAGAGCTCCATGTGTTTGCAGGAAACACCAGGCGGGACAGGCTGCTTGGAGGAGTGGCCAGGCCACGTTGGTGTAGACTAGAAGGACAGTGTGAGGAGCCCATGGCTTCTAAAGTATAAAACTTAAGTGAACACATTTATGAAATAGGTGTGCCTATTTGCTTAAAACCCATCAGTCACGACCATGTTACTATACTCTGCACAAGTACTGAATAAATCGGTAAATATTAGTTGAGCGCATGAATAAATGAAGGAATGGAGTTTTTAGAGATGAAAAAACCTACTAGATCAAATAAGAAAACAGATGGCTTTCCTCTGCCTCCCTGTGCTCTTCTCCTGGGTTGGGAGGCACTTTGCAAGCTGGAGAAGGCAAGGGTGATGTTACAGGTGTGGTTTGGGAATCTCCTGCACATCGACAGTATGTATCGATAGCTCATCTAATCTCTTTTCCCAGAAGGAATACACGTGCGCCTTCCAGAGTGTCGCCAGGCCATCCTGGCTTTTGCTGGCTCTGGGCTTCTTTAATCCTCAGGGGAGGGGCTTTTCTCCACTAAAATCCTGCCCCCAAGATCTTTCTCTGTACGGTAGAGGGTATAATGGACTCCCTGCTCTGCCCTCATACAGAACCCACTGTCCCTAGGAATGGCCACACAAAGGCAATACCTGGCACCCCAGAGCTGCCCGGAGGAATCCCAGGACAGCTGGTGACGCGGGGGCTGCTCCGGTAACGATCATTCGCACACACCCTCCGAGACTGGCCTGTGGGAGGAGAGCAGAGACCACCTAAGTCTGGGCTGCAGGAGGCGGCACCCAGCCCATGTGGGCCCCATCTGAGGTCAACATTCCAAACTTGGACGCCACCTGGACCCTAGGGTAAGGATCTGCCCCTTCTCCTTCCAGATGGATTCACCCAATCAGCTGTGCAGCTCAGTCCGCAATATGGCCAACTTGTTTATGTTAAGTCTTTTGCTCTAAGTGCCATTACTCAGGGTGGCAGTCTATAATTTTGGTTCTCCCTTCTTTAAAATACACATTTGTACCCTCCTTCTCCCATCATTTGCAAGCACCCACACCAATTACTTAGGACAATTTCTTCCCACTTCCATCTTAATGGCCTAGTCTTTTTCATTTGTAAATCAATACCACATTCCACTCTATTTATTATGCAGAGGAAGAAGAATTCTCTAAACACTCAACTGTAAGTTGAGCAAAGGGAGTTTAAATATTAATTTGCATACCTAACAATGGAGTAGTAAGAAAAAAAATGAGTAATGCTATGAATCAACTACAAATTCCTTGAGTAATGAAGAGCTTGAAAACTTCAGCGGGATACAGAAATAAGTAACTCATGACCAGCCTGGCTTGGGACAGGTTGAAGGGATAAGAAAGAGGAAGGGAAAGAAAGATTCTTGGCCATCTGGCAAGAACCTAGAGTGGCTGGAAAGCCCAGACTACATGGAGGGGCAAAGGAGACTTCGGGCCTCAGGAGCCCCTTGGTGGACCTGGCCACCGACGGGCAAGGATCCCCTGATGTCTGTGGAGATCAAGGGACCTGCCTTCCAGGAGGAGGTCAAGTCCTTGCTGGTTGCCTGCTGGCAAACATATCACATCTCCAAACATTGAAAACAGTCCTTTAAGATTTCAGTGGTGGCATAAGCTTCGATTTCATGAGCAAAAGAATTATTATTATTCTGTGTGATTACAGGCCACTGGGATGAGCTTCTCTCATTCTTCTGTACCATGACCCACTGGACATGTAGTGCCACTCTATACAATATAATTGTTCATTTTCTTACCTGAATCTTATTAAAGAAGAGTTCATCCCAGATACTGTCATTCCTGATGATTCCACTCCGGACCTCAGCCTGCTTACGTTTTGCTGCAAACTCCAGGAACCAGCGCTTTAATGGCGTGTCTGCTTGGCTGAAGATCTGAGGACAGTTGGAAACAGTTGCCAGAGCTGCATATCCCACCTCTGGACATTCCCCTCAGAGAAGAAGGCCCAGAAGGCCAACAACGAGGCACTCCTCATTTTGCCCCTGCAGGAGGTCAGCAGATGTGTGACATCCAGCTAAAGGTTAATATTGCCAAGCTCTGGGCACATTGTAGGGAGAGCAGTTCCTAAAAAATATCTCCCCAGCCAGGATTTTGGAGAATAGTAAGAAAACAGGAGAAGGAAGGGTGAGTCCGGGAATACAGGAGAGGAGCAACTTCCAGGCCCAGTGGGTGTGGGCACAGAGCTCCAGACCCTGGCCATACAAGCAGATATGCAGCCCCCCCAGCCTGGCCCAAGACTCCCTTCAGGGCTCACCTTGTCGTACATTCGGTTCAGCAGCCGTGGGACCACAGGGAAGATTGTCGGGCAGAGAGCCTTCATGTCATCCGAGAGGAGGCGGATGTCCCCTTGGAAGAAGCCAACGCGCCCTCCGTGGCAGTAGACGACAGACTGGAGGGAAAGGACAGGAAGGGAGGCGTCATTGGGACAGTGACTCCCAGCTGCCACCCAGAGCTTCCCAAGGTTCTGCCCTACATGGAGGGCACCCATGACCCCATAACTCAGACCTGGATGCTGCATGAGACACTGAAGAACACTATCTGAGGCGACACTCCCCCTGCCTCCCTACTTCCCACCTGCTAAGTCTTGCACAGGCACAGCAGGAAGAGGCAGAGATGGAGGGGATCCTGGGCCTCTGGGAGATTCCAGAGCAGCCAGTCTCACTGGTGCTGCCCCTCATGCTGTCCCCCAAACCCTGGTCAGGGGCCTCCCTGGGGACTCAGGTCTCTGAGCTGTCCTACACCCTATCAAGGGGGCTGCTCCAGGTCTCAGAGAGCCTGTGGGTTTCCCCAGAGCACCTCTGCAACTCCCGGTGCCCCTGAGTCCTGGAGATGTTGGCTGTGGGTGCTGTTTGGTGGGAGGCCAAGGGGGAGCCAGCCTGTTTCCTAATGGGACTAGGGGTACACCAGGGGCCTAATATATGCTCCTGACCTTAATGCTCATAGCAGCGCTCTAAGTGACCTCCATTTTACAGGTGAGGAATATGCAAACTGAAGATGCGTGTCCAAAACTAGTTCACAGCTATTGCTCGCATTCTACTGGAAAGCTGGAAAGCATGTCCTAGGATATCAAGTCTCCCCCAAGGCAAGATGTGAGAGGCTTAGAAGACAGAGTTTATCTATAGGATGATCCCTTGTGTGACACACGTATGGAGAATTCCTTGCTCCCACAACCTTCTGTGAACGTCCCATCCTCCTCTGCCCCCAGCGCCCTCTGCACCCCTACAAGGCCTGTCCCAGGGCCAGTCATAACACCAGTCCCACCTACAGCCTGAGGGGTGTGACCACTTGATGCCTCAACTTGACTGGGTGGGTTTCTTTTTTAGGAGGTCATCAGTTAATGGAGGTGATGGAATATACGCATTTGGGCCTTAAACAGAGCTGCAATGCACAGAGTTTGACTGGTGGGGCATTTCTGCAAAGCTTTAATACTCTCTGGAGCAGATGCCGTCAGCTGGGGCCTCTGCCAGCTGAGGTGTGTCCACAGGTGGGGCAGGGCAAGCCTGGGGTTTTCCCTGGCACCATGCTCCTAGGTGGGACGGGAAGGCTGGCCAAGGTCCTCTGATCCCTCTGGCCTACGAGGACAAGGCAGTTTAGTTCTACTCCATGGTGCCAGTGACAAGTAGTGCCCTGCTGGGGTTCTGGGTTCTGGGCACAGATTGCACCTCCCTGAAGCCAGGGCCTTACCTGCACCATTCGCTCAAACATGTGTGCTAAAGGCAAGTAGGCAATGTGCACATCCACACAAGTGGGAGCCCACTGGCTCTGTAAGAGAAGAAAGGGAGCCCAGGCAAGGCCCGGTCAGTCAGGCGGCGTCTTACCTGGATCACTCTCTCAAACATGTGAGCCAGAGGCAGGAAGGAGACGAGCACATCGTCCTGTCTCGGAAAGATCACTTTCTGCAGGTGGCGGGCATGGGAGACAGAAAGGAAAGAAACACTGACAGGAAGACAACAAGAGAGTCATAAAACACTAAAGAGAAAATGGTCCTGGAGGGGCAAACAGGAAGAGGGGGAGGGGGAATGGGGCAGAGAGAGACTCCAGATGAGAGAGAGAAACAATGCCAGACAGAGAGAGAGAGGGAGGGGGAAGATGAAGACGCAGGAGGAGGGACAGAGGGATGGCAGTGCAGGAAGACAGTGTTAGGCCGCAGCCTGGGGCTAGGTTATCTGCAGAAGCAAAGAGCCAAATGAAGCACATATAAACCGGCAGAGCCCAGCTCCGCGGGAAGTCTCCTCCAGCCCAGGCCCGTTTCTCAGGTGCTCTGGGCCACCTGGGCCAGCTCACAGGGCCTCAGCTCGTCAGCACTTTCTAGCCCTTCCTCCAGAGAACCCTAGGTCTGTACCAACTGTGGCCGGGCATCTTCCCCAGACAGGGTGGGGAGCAAGGCCAAGCCTAGACAGGTGGCTGAACCAGGCCTCAAGGCCCCGGCCTGAAAGCAGGGTCCTAACAAGGAAGGCCTGGAGGGAGCCCTACTGTGCCCCCAGCCCACGTCTCACAGATGGGACTGGCCTTGGTGACAGGGGCTGTTGCGGCCAGGGGAGCCTGCACAAGGCTGAGCTCTGGGGCGAGCCAAGCCCTCAGCACCTCTCCTTTGCTGGACTTCACTGCCCTCTGGCCTTTTGCAGGGGCCTTCCTTCTCCTGGGCTGGCTTTTGGACAAGTCTGAGCAAGCCGTGGGAACCTGGCTGAGGCTCCTGACCTGGGCTCAGCCACCAACCACCTCTTACCATTTCCTACCACAGTACGTGACTGTTCAGGGCACATGCTCTATGGTGCCACGTGGCAGGAATGTGGGTGCTGACTGTTCTCCACAGTGGAGAAAAAGCCTAACTTATATGAACAGGTACCTGCCTTTCTCCCTAAAAAAAAGTGCAGGACATTCAGATATGCACCACTTGTGGAAAAGGTCCTTCTTTCTTAGCCGGTTATAAATGCTAACATGCTTTTGTCAGGCTAAAGATATCAAGCTTTTTTGAGCTAAGATTTACCTTTTTAAGGACAGCCTTATAAATAAGCAGTGCCATTGTTTCTTAGACTCTACGAGTCCTTAAACACAAAATGACCAGATTAAACCCTGACCTACTTGAAAAGCAAGTTATTAAAGATTATTTTCTAAATAAAAGTGCAAAAATAAAACCCCATAGGTATCTCAGTTTTTGAAATGAAAAATGAAAAATAGGTTTACATGGTTTCCTTTCTGGGATCTTAGCACTCATAGAAACCAACTGGATCTTATCAGGTCTGGATCACTGCAGTGTTTGGGGATAAGAGTCTGTAAAAGTGGGATTGCTCTAATGAGAACAGAAACTCCCACCTGTGAAAGGAAGCCCACACTGTATCAGGGAAAAAAGGAAACAAATGCAACAAAACTCCTGAGGCTGCTGGAGGGTGTCCTCAAGAGACGCCTGCATTAATGAGTCTGCTTTATTCACCTCTGTCACCTTCAGAAAGCCTGAGAAATCAGCCACCACATTCCCGTGGGTAAGCATCGCACCTTTTGGGTTCCCTGAAAGAAGAAGGCAAGAAGGTGAATTAGTTGGAGGCCCCAGGGCCACCCCGAGAACATGCCCGAGTCAGCAGCCCAGACACGCCATCCACCTGAGCCTCTGGCCTCGTCCACAGCCCCTCGGCAGCCCTAGGCAGATGAACGTCGTGTCAGGGACCTTCGTCCTGCAGATGCACAAAGCCTACATGGAGACTTCCAGCAGCTTGGGAGCAGAAGGCACAGGGGAGTGGCTCAAGGCCTGACGGGCTGGCTACTGGTGACCTGTGCCTTCCTCTCTCCTGTTCCCTCGGGGAGCGCAGGCTCTCGGCCTCCAGTTGCCTCACACACACCCAGTGCCCTGTGCTGCTGTCTGGGCCTGGGCAAGTCTCCAGAACTCAGCACAGGACCTCCTTGCTGTACCCAGCACCTGGAAAGGCCCAGGCTCAGGCCAGCCTGGAGGTTCAGGGCATGAGGGCATCCCCTCTGGCCTGCTCATCAGCACAGATGGGACACAGATATTCTTGCTTTGTTCTGACAAGGCTGTTCACTAATGCTCCTGAGGAAGCCCAGGGCTGCTAGGATGACTCAGTGGACAGAGGCCAGGTGGGGACTTAGGGCACTGCTGGCTGGGGAGGGAAGGAGCTTGGCCACCATTGCATGGCAGGGTGGACACAGCAGTGATTTTGCTGACAGACAGGTGTGGCTGGGCTCCACTCCTGGCTTTGTGTCTCACTGCTTGCATAACGCCAGCAGCCATGTCTCCTCTCTTGATTTCCTTACCTGTGAAATAAGCAGTGGCACCCCCCTCACAGGGCTTCTATAGGGTCTAAGGATATGACCCACATGCAAAAGATGTAAAATCAGAAGTTCCACTGAGGCAGCAGATTTGATGGGTGGGAAACTTCAATAGCCAGAGGCCAGACCACATGCAGAATTCACTCAGGAAATACCAAATAAACCAGTATGTTAAGTTTGCAACCCTTGGCCAGAAAGAGGTATGAAAAGGGCTAAGTGAGTAGAAATTAAGAGAGGGTTGTAGTAAATGCTACTGAACTATTCACTTAACAATGGTCAATTTTCTGCTATGTGCATTACACCTCAATAAAAGAATCCATTTGTGGGAAGCATTTCTTTGGAGAGAGCTATCCTGAGTTCTACAGCCCATCAAATGGGGGGTAAGGAGGGGTCTTCTCTCCCAGCCCCAACCTGAATCTAAGCTAACCCCGACTCTATTGGGATTGCTTGGAGAGTCCGACCACATGGCCTGCAGCTGAGGGTCTAAACAGAAAGGTGAAGGAGCCTGTGGCTGCAAATGGAAAACGAAAAACAAAAAATCCCAGGGACTGGAGATGCGGTCTGCAGAAGGAACAGCAGTCTGAGCTGGTGGTGGTGGGAATGGTGGGCTGAAAAGGAGCCTTGCCGCAGGCCAGTTCCCCCCACCAAGTCAGGGGGAAGCAGTAAAGTGAACAGCAGAGGCAGAAGCCGAAGCTGGGTAGGAGGCAGGCCACCTGCTGCAGGGCAAGGAAGGGTGCTGCCTGCATCAAGAGGACTGAAAGTGTCCCAGACCATCTCCCAATCGCCTTCTCCCACTTACTCACTCTCCCTCCTGCGGGGAGAGGGCAGAAGCCTTCATCAGCAGGCTGGAGGGAAAGGAGAAATGCGAGAGAGGAGGAGAGGAAAGACAGATGGCACCTTCCCCACTGGGCTGGCAGCCAGCCCCGGCTGGGGCTGGGGCTGGAGATGTCGTGATGGAGAGGATGGACTCCTGCTTGGGACTGACGCTAGTATTTCTGAATTAAGACCATGTGTGTGACTTATGCCACCCATGTGGCTACCCTGAGAGTGACCAGAGAAGGCAGGACATGCTGTTTTTATCCAGGAGCAGAAAGAGAGCTGCCTCCACTGACAAGTTTAAAGGAGTGGGGGCAGACAGAGATAAAGTTGTTCTCATAATTTTATCCCATGAGGCTCAACTTACCTCATTCATCAGAATGTGACACATTCATCAGAGACAAGAGCACCAGTAACGGTCCATCTCTGCTGACCAAGGCGTGTGGTGGGCAGGGTTTTAGCAAGCGCTCTGCACTAACACCCACACTGCGAATCACAGAGGCCACTTGGGGGACACAGAAGGTTACAAGATCTAAAAAATTACATTTCCTACTAAGTAGCTGCTAAAATATCTTCCTTTTGGAAAGGACAACCGTGGGATCTGTTTTTATCTCTGCTGGTCCTTCTTTCGGCTCAGTAACTTTCCTCAAACCCAGGCCCATATTAAGAAATCCTCTGACTTGCCTCCTATGTACAAATCCCGCAGACTCCATAGGTCCACAAATTAATCTGAGAGTATCACTTGGAAATTTTCACCTGGGGATTCTCAAGCTCTAGAATTTTCTAAGGAACATTCACAAAATACTACATATGAAATCAGAACTGACACGAAGGAGGGACCTGTGCTATAGAGCTTTCTTTAGAGCTGCCAGGGCGGCCGACTTGCTCATGCCTAATGTAACCTCAGGGTGGATGGTTTGAGAATCTCAAGAGAGAGCTCTCTTCACTGCTGAAAAATTTCAAAAGCCTCCATTCAGTTCAGGCCAATACACATAGGATGGTAAGAATTATTCAATTCTGCTTTTCCTCTCCAACATGATGGGAAAAGTTACACCTTTTAGAAACAAGTATTTCGTTGTGGATATGGATGCAATTTCATAAACTTAATGAGTTTATAGGAGTTACAGATTTTTTAAATATTCCCAAAAGTGTTAAAGTTATTTCCTTAAGCCATCTCTACACATGATTCCAAAAGATGGAGAAGTGAATGGTGATAACAAATCCTGAGACGAGACGCAGTGTCCGAACTGGGAGGCAAGAGGTGAGCCTTACGAAGGCTCTGCTTGCTTCTCTGATTCAGGACAAGTGCTTCCCTCTGGCAGCATTTCTTTTGAACATGACATGAAAAATTGTCCAAGCTGCTCACACGGAGGAACAGGCTACACGTTCCCAGCTACAGCCACCAAAATCGCAGAGTCGGCCTATGCCCTGCTTCGCTCCTTACGTCATGCTCCGTTGAAGCAAGTCGCTGCTCGCCAGGCCCCAGCGTCTCAGCGGCAGGACACCTAGTCCATTTACCATCTTCTCCTTAAAGGCTGGCCATCCTTGCATTTCATTTCCTCTCCAGATGCTGAAGGGAAAAAACTCAGTTTCTGGCATTTTAGCATCAGCGGTGTTCCTGGGTCACCCATGGCTGACATACAGAAGGTCATTCCACTGGGTGAAGATCTGCCCTGGGGGACACTGGCTTCAAGCGACAGCAGCTGTGGGGTGAAGCTGAGCTTGGCATCTCTGCTGCAGGGCTGGGTGGGCATGGGGTTGGGCACAGTGCTGGACCCTCTGGCTGGGGCTCCTATGACTTCTTGTTTCCACGTGGGTCCCAAAAAGTACTGGTGACAGAAATGCTCTGGAAGTTTTATAATGCAGGCAGAGTTCATCTCCCTGCTAAAGGCTCCCAGATTTTCTTTGAGATTGAGTCTTGCTTTCACCCAACCCATATCTACCTTTAAAAAAAAAATCAGACTTGAGAGCTAGTAGGAATACAAATCATAACTATGATAGCAGCCAATTACTAAACACCCACTAATGTGGGCTCTGTGCTAGGCATGCCATACATGGTAGCTCAGTTATTTCTTGAAAACAACCCTACACTATAGGTATTAGATGTCTTTGTTTAATATCCAAGGCAATTGAGGCTTAAGAGACATTTAAAAATGCTCCCACAGCCATGCAGCAGGAGCACCGAGATATAGTTGCATGCACATGATCACACAAGTCTTGAGCCAAATGGTGCCGAACAAACAGGCAAAGGTGAGCATTTCCAGAGAGGCTGCCTCCGAGCAGCCACAGCTACAGGGCTGATTGGCATTTACATGCTCAGCTAAATGCCTGCCAATGCCTTTCCTGGGATCCTCAATCAGAACAGAAGAGATGCCCCAATTCAATGCTTTCTCCCCCACCCCAGCCTCCTGGCCCTGCCCCTGCTAAGAACTGACCCAGCTAGCTCCCTCATGCCGAGACCCTTTCATGTGACTCCAGACATGTGCCTTTCCCCTGCCTACCCTCCGCCTCCTCGCTCCCTCCCAAGCTGGGCTCCGCTGCTGTCCCTCTCTGTCCCTCCCTGCAGCCACTCTCCTGCCCTGGGCTTCAGCTCCCAGGCTTGCTCTGGAGCAGGCTGTTCTGATAACCCCGCCAAGCCGGCCCAGCGACCTGCCTCTCCCACTCCTCCCACAATATGACTCCGAGGCTCACACTCTCCCACCCAGAGGGGCTCTCTTTGCAGAAACTGCCACACTGTGCCTCCTTAGACTCCAGCCCATTCATGACTCCTCTCACCAGCAGACCAGGACCTTGATGCCTACTCCACAGAGGAGGGCTCCCTGCATCCTCCCAGCCCCCCAGGATCCTCTCTTCTCCTCCCCAAGGCAAGGCACATCTCTTCCATGGCCCTTGGAAGCCTTCTCTCTCCCTTGAACAAACCAAAGCTTTGACGGCTGTGCTCCCTGGAGCACCACCTCCCCGTCCTCCCCCTCTAGGGTCTCCATCTCAGTTATAAAAAACACTTCCAGGTATTTCCTGAAAACAACAAACCCCACTCTTCCTGGACCCCACAGCCTCTACCAGCAGCCACTCTTGCTGTCATTCCTTCAGAGCTAATCTTTGCTTAATAAATTCTTACAGCATAACATACAAATGGAAAAGCACGCAAATAGGTGCACAGCGCAGCACATTTTGTTTTTTGAAGTGAATGTATCTGTGCAACCAGCACCCAGAGTGAGAAACAGAACATCATCAGCATTCCAGGCACCACCATCCAGGAAGACAACCACTGTCCTGGCTTCTAAAACCACGGAGAGTTTATTGAGTTTTGTAATTTTATGTAGAAGAAACCGCACTCTGTCCTGTGCCAGGTTTCTGTCCTCGGTACTGAGGTATGACATCCCACTGTAGGCATACCGTGCTGTTGGCTGACACCCATGTGAGCTGTTTCCAGATTCTGACTATTCAAACAATGTCGCTCTGACCATCGTGGAGTGTGCCCTTGGTGACACCGGTGAGCCTCTTGGAAGAACTCTCCACACTTGGTGAGCGCCCCCGCCTCCCATTCCCTCCTCAGTCCACCACAGTTGGTGGCTGCTTGCAGCCCCCACCCCACAAGCAGCCTTTGTATGAGCACCAGCAGGCATTTCCAGGGCGGCATCCTAGGGGCACAATCCAGCCACCAGATGATTCACTCTCCTCTAGCCTTTCCACACCACCTCCTGCCACACCTCCATTTGAAACTCCAACCCCTAGGGTTCCTGTCCTGCCAGTGTTCCCAGACTCAGCTCCCAGCCCTCTCTTCCTCAAAGCAATATCTTCTCTCTTGCTGCCAGTCCTCCATGTGTGCTGCTCCCTCTGCTGAGAATGCCCTTCCTCCTCTTCTTCTATAGCTGCCTCTCATTTAAGACTCTGCTCAGATTGACTTCCTCTGGGAATCCTTTCTGTCCTGCTGTTCTGATCTCTCGGAGGCCTACCACTGCATGCACCCCAGATTGCAGACCCTCCAGGCAGCGACCACAGTGTATTGAGCTGCCTAATGACGTGAACTCAGAGCTCATGAGGACAGGGCTGTGTCCATCCCCAGCTTTGCACAAAACTAGGTCTGCTGCATAGTGGATACTCAATAAATGAGCTGAATGAATGGATCTACATATATTAGAAAAAGAATGCTGAAAACACAGACTGAGAAGGATAAATTTTAAAAGACCCCTGCATTTTCTTCCCTGGGAAGAGAAGGTATAGGAATTCCTAAGGATACATCCTAACTATCATTCACAGGGACCAGTTTCCCAAACTGGGCTGTATTATACCCTCAAATTATCTTTCTTTGGGTGGGGCTCAGATTCCAGCCCAGCTAACAGCTATTTTGAAATGAATAACCCACCCATTGGCCATCACTAAGCGTAGAGAAACCCCCAGCTCTCAATTCTTCCAAGGCCTTGTTCACCTGATTAGGGCCTCTAAAGCACTGGCTTATTAGGGAAATCTCCACAGATGTTCCTATCCCATGCCAAGAAGAAATGCTTCCCAGAATGATTCCACCAGAATCATGAGCCAAATGTCAGGTGCAGGTCATATTTTCCATCTATTCTACTGAAAGAACAATGTGGCTCCTGCTGAAGCTGGGAGCCAGGCTCCTTGGTGCAGAAGGGAAGTCGAATCCGGGGCTGTGAGGCTGAGGACATGCATGGCTGCTGTGCTCAAGAAAAGGCTGGCTACGAGAGGCAGCGCACAGGACACCCAAGGGTGCAGCCAGACAGGGTAACCTGGGGTGAGAGGACTGCTCCCTCTCCTGGCTCCGCCTGGCACCAGCCATGCCTCCAGAGTGGAAGGCTGGGCGCTGAATCATGACCTGGTTTCCAGGACCCACACATCCTGCTCTGCCACCCAGAGCCTGGGCAGGTTGGGTTAGCCTCCAGTTACGACTCCATGGTCTAGGAAGGCACTGGACCTTAGGCCTGACCTCTCCAGCTGGGCAACAGCATGTTTCTGCATCAGGAAATTCTTTCCCAGATACAGGGGTAGCATCTGTGACCAAGTGACCCTTAAAAAGCCTAGGGGCAGTCTTGGGCAGCAAGGGTCCAAAGCTAAAGGCCACAGTAATTACTGACCTGCTCCCCAGCCCAGTGTGGAAGGACACGCCACCACAGTTTCACACTGTGAGACTCATGACAAAAAGCAACATCAACACAAAGGGCATTTCTGAATTCTGGATTGGGTCTGGATGACAGCTCCGGGAGAGCGGGGGGGCCCTGTTATTTCCTGGCTGACAGGGTTGGAGAGTGTGGCGGACATCCTCAAACTCACTTGGGATGATGGCAAAAATCCATCTCCGTTCAATTAAGCCGTGTTGATCGTGAGCCGCCCACATGGACGGTGCTCCCTGTGGGGCCAGTCACGGATCTGACAAATCCTTAGAGGCTGCATCTGTGGAAGTGCGGGGAGCCCCAGTTCACTACCCACCAAGAGTGGTCATTGGGGTGGCCAGGCCTCGGCCTGGAAAAAGAAGGCTGGAAACATCTTGCGCATCCCTGACAAGGGCAAGGGACCTCCCCAGCTGTGAGAGGAGACGGGGCAACAGCGGTGGGAAGAGCCCTGCACTGGGACCTGGGAGGGCAGGGCACAGGTCTGCAGGCCTGCTCTCCTCACAGGCCCTACTGAGGCCCCGTGGCACAGGGATGGGGACACAGGGCACTGCCGACTGCAAAGCGCTGGGTCCGCGTGTGCTTTCCACCTCCCCTAAGGAAGCCTCCCTTGGCTGTTGCTGCTGATCCACCATGCACGCTCCTGTCAGCTGCAGGCACAGGGTAGGGCACTTTGGCTTGTCCTCTTCAGGACAGCCCAGCCAGGGGGACTCGCCCGGCCTTCAGAGCACCCGCTCTGCCCTTTCAGACACCCTTCCATCTCCTACTAATCGGGACAGTGGTGGCAGAGAGGTTCAGTGACTGGCTGCTAGTCCCTCAGCAAGCCGTGGAGGTGGGACTCAGATCCAAGCTCTCAGATCCCAAACCCCGCCCTCCTTTCCCTGAGGGGAAGGCCAGGCAGGGGCCGGAAGCAGGAGGGTGAGAGCTGCTTCTCAAGGAGGAATAACGTGACCCCGCTGCTCAGCCCTCCTGGGGCCCCAGCTCCGGGAAGTGGCAAGGGCTGCCTTGGACCTCCCAGTCCACACTATCCACCCCGTGCCCAGCCACCCGTGCAGCCTCGTGCTGGGTCCTGGGAGCCGCCAGGACCCAGGTTCTGAGCCTGGTACAGAACAAGACCCAGCGCGTCCCACAGAGGGCGCCGGAGAGCCCTGTAGTCGTCCGGCCCGGCTGCCAGGGAAGCGTGCGAGCCCGGCCCAGCTGCTCATTTGGGTGCCTCTGCTTACCTGTCGTGCCGCTCGTGAAACACACGATGGAGAGGTCGCTGGGCTTCGGGGGCTGCCGAGGCAAGAAGAAGTGTATGTTAAAGAGAGTAGGTGTGCTCAGCCAGGACCCACGGTTCTGAGCCACTCCACTAGCTGCCCCCAGTGTGCACGGTATGTGCAGTGTAGATGAGTGTGACTGTGTCTGTTGGTGCACGCATGGCCCTCAGTGCTACAGTCAGACAGGTGGGCAGGTGAGTCCCAAGAAGGGGGAAAGAAGCTGAAGAAACCTAATGAGGGATGGATGTCAATCTGCCCCACCAGCTCGCACCTGGCCCTGCTGCCTCTGCCACTAGAGTCTGAGCTGAATTCTAGAAGGGATGGGGCTGCAAGCTAGGCCTCTACTGACATCTCCCTTTTCCAGTGGGTATGACCTAGCTCCCGCCCTCCTTCCTGCTTTCTCCCAAATGTCTGGGGCCAGGCTTGGGAATAGAGCATGCCCGTGTCCCCAAGACCGCTCTGCATCAGGCCTTGGCCCTGACACTGGGCACATGGTCCTGGGGTCACCGGGAGGAGCCCGCCACGTTCACTTACAGGTAGAGACGGCTTCCCAGAGGAGGTGGTGCGAGTTGTGACTGAAGGACAAGCTCTATCTCCCCAGATGAAGTGGGGGGTGGGCATTCTGGGAGGGGATCCAGCTGGGCACAGGCAGAGGCTCACAGGACAAGGGCGTGCTGAGGGCCCGAGAGCAGTGTCCTATGTCTGGGGCACAGTGTGGGTGGTGGGCACACAGCAGGGTATACCTGGGAAGGGCCCTGGGAAGCAGGGGCCTGCTCAGGCCTGTGATTGAGAAAACTCTGGGGTAGTGGAAGGAGGGCTGAGCTGGTAACTCGATCCAGACAGCATCCCCTGGGGCTGACACAGAGTTCACACAGGCCACTCAGTCCTGAGTCCACTTCCAGTGCTGTTGCTGCTTGTCCATCACACCCTCTGGACACTTCGCTACATTCAGAGGGCACAAACAAGACTTCCCAAAGCAGAAGCTCCTGGAGAGCTGAGGGTGGCCGGGGCTGGCCGGCCTCCTTTTCTCCCTCCCAGGCACCTGACTCCTGCTCCAGGTCCCTCTCTGCATGCTTACCCACAGGAGTCCTGGGCACCACAGGAGTCCTGGGGGCATTTGCTGGCCTCTCTGTTGAGCCCCTGACCATAGTGAGTGGTCTGTGAGGACAGGCCCTGCACACCCTCGTGCTCAATAAAGACCTGCTGGCAGATAAACTTACCACAGGAGCATGATGATTCTGTTGGCCACAGTCCTGGAGAGGGAAATACTATTTTTAAGTGCTCAAAAGTTCTCATCAAAAACAAATAAGTAAATAAATAAAAATAAACTCAGCATAGTATGCCTTGCTCCTGTGCCAAGCCTCAGGAACCCCTGCCTGACACAGCCCATATGGAGGCACTGTCTCCTTGGCCTTTCCTCATATATATATCCAGGCCTCGGCCACCTACACATCACAGATGGGGACTCTGAGGCCCAGGGCAGGCCAGGCACTGTGCCCATGCACAACAGGGGAGATGGCCTGAGGTACCCATGGTACATCTGGACACCTGCCTGAGCAGAGTATAGTGGCTGGGGGTCTGGGCTCCCAGAGAAGTGGGCAGGGTGATTGTAAGCCGAGGGGTAGCCCTGAAAGCCACAGAAGGGACAAGAGCACAGGCATGATGGGCATAGTCAGGAGCAGACAGGGAGGCAAGAGGTGAGCAGAGGGCCCTGGGGCCTACATCCAGTAGGGCACAGGGGAGGTCAGCTGCCACTGAGCAGGGCTGCACGTCCTGGAGGCCAAGATGTCCTGTGTCACGCCCACCTGACACCTCTGGAGAGTCCAGGCACAGAAAAATCAGTTCCATTGGTTGTGGGGAGTCTGGGACACATTTGTGAGACTCTCAAAGACTACTGGGCCTCCTGTCTCACCTCCTGTCTACAGTCCTCAGGCTCACACGGGCTGGTGGCTAGCTGGAAACACAGAGGCTGCTGAGGCCATGTCAGCAGCTCAGGGGCAGGCGTGCCATTAACTGTGCCAGCCCAGCGAGCCTGTTGCCTAGAGGTAACACCCCCACCCACCAGCAGCCCTTGGGGAGCCTGCCCCATCTCAACACTGACATGCCCTGAGGTCTAAGACATCCCCCTAGGGTGTGAGAGGGCAGTTGACCCACAGCTCTGGCTTGCAGGGGCCCAGTGGTAGCCCGCAGGCAGCCCCTCACCTCCACAGCCTGCATGGATGTGATGGCCACCCCACACTCCTGCCCTCTGTCTCTCAGGGCTTCCTCAAAGTGCTCCATGAGGATGATGAGCGTCAGCCCCGGGGTCTCCTTCCTCTCCACGTGCTCCAGCAGAAGCACTGCCTTCTGAGGCTGGTCCACAATCACAGTGCTGATGTCAGCTGCGGGACCGTCAGGGAAAGTCAGGCTGTGCGTGCCACGGCTTGTGTGGAAATAAACACCCAAGACAGGCCTTGTGGGCCGTGGGCCGTGCACAGAAGGAAGTGCACGGGGCCTGGCACCAAGGGCAGAAGCCCAGGGAGTCTTCTAGAGTGGCTTCCAAGCATTCCTTCGCTCCAGGCTTAGCCCTCATCACCCCAAGTCTGCTTGAGACATTTACCAACCCCCCAAATCTGCCCTAGGCTGCAGTGACCTGCAGGGTTGGCAGCCTGTGTGGGGGCTGGTGCAGAGGCTCCTTCTTGGCAGCTGGGCCCTGTGGTGTGTGTGAGCCTTTAGGTAAAGTCCATGCAGGGACACCTGGACCCAGGCAATTCAAGGGCCAAAAGGGAAACCCATTGTGTTCCCTGGAGTGGCAGCACTGTGCTTATTAGCATCAGCCACTAATATAGCATCAGCTGCTAATATAGCAGCCACTATATTAGCGTGGAAAGCACACGCGGACCCAGCGCTTTGCAGTCGGCAGTGCCCTGTGTCCCCATCCCTGTGCCACGGGGCGCGGTGCTGCCTGCCCGTGGCAGGAGGGGGCAGTGGTGGACTCACCTGTGTTGATGATGTAGCGAATGGCCCCAGGGCCCAGGGTGTCATAGAGCGGGACCACCACCATGGAGTAGGTGTAGCAGGCAAGCTCTGCGATAATCCACTGTGGGGACGCAAGGCAGGGGCGGGGGAGTGGAGCAGACAGGAGGGCCATACTGCCCGCAGGCCCAGGCAGCCAGAGCTGCTGTTCTGGGTCCTGCGCTGAGAGAGCTCTGTCCTGGCCCTCTGCACGTGGCAAGGAATCCCCGAGGCTAACCAGCTGTGCCTGCTCACCCACAGCCTTCTAGACCATGCCCGCCCCAGGGAATCCGGACTCCAGACAGCCCCGAGCCCACTTCCAGGGTTTGCTCAGGCTTCTTCCCCAGGTCTCTCCTCCCCCATGGCTCCAGGAACAGCTGATTATGGGACTGGGTGGGCTGTGGATAGGCAGCTGGCTGGCATGTCCACTCCTGGTTAGGAGAAATGCCAGGGGAGTAGAGGGTGGGGTGGCATGGAACAGGAATGCCCAGTTTTCCTGTTTTCCAGGCCCTCAAAACAGTGGGAGCAGGGCTGTTTTACATTACCCAACTCCCTACTCCACTGATACCTCTAAAAGCAGTCAAGGCAGATGCTCACCTCTGGCCGATTTTGTGCAAAAACGCCGATAAACTGATCTGTACATGCTTTACAATTGTGTTGGAGAAGTCCGGACCCTAGATATTCAGCCCTGTCAGCCACCTGCACACAGACATGGGAACTGGTGGGAATGCAAGGACTCTTCAGCAGGGGATGGAGATCCCCAAGTGGAGGGAGAGCCTACAGGTCTGAGGGGCCTGCCTATCCCCCTACTCAGGTCTGCAGGGAGCCCTATGAGGCTGCTGCCAGGAGCTCGGCAGAGAGGCTGGGCACAGAAACAGTTCCCCTCTGAGACCCAGCAGGGTGCCCACAAGCCCCCCAGGCAGCGCGTCTGCACAAGCACGTGGGGTGGGGTCTGTCCTCTCACTCACCTCCTGGTATGACAGCCACTGATAAGGCTGCTTGGGCTTCCTGAAGCCAAGACAGGGTCCATTCCCTGCAGAGAGATGAGCAGGCCTTGTGGAGGCAGGGTGGGGGTGCCACCTGCACCTGCCTGTCAGACACCCATGTGAACATCCCATACTGTGGGGTGGCCATGGCCCGGGGGAACTGTCCCCTGGGTGCCTTTCTAACCTGCTGAAGCCCAATAAAGCCTGCATACACACACATGGCCCTCCCCAGGAGTCAGGGAGGCCCAGGAATGGGGAATGACACAGTGCCAGTTTCCATGATGACCTGTGTGACGCAGCCCCAGAGGGCATGGAGAACTGGGAGCCACTGGGCAGAGGTGGCAGGCTGCTGCTCTGTGACCACCTCCCTTTGCCTGATGCCTTGGGTCACCCAGACATTTCAGAGGCCTCTGGATCCTTCCGTCAGTGGCCTGGAAGTTTAAGGTTCACCAGGAGGTGCCAATGGGAGATAAAGAGTATGGGCTAAGGTCAGACAGTCCTAGGGACTGGAGCAAAGCTGAAATCAGCCTTTTGGCCTCATAATGCAGTTATTTCTTTGAGTGGGTGGGAGAAAGGTCAGGAGTGGCTTCTCTCCTCTGAACCTGGGCACCCCTCACCTACTGTGTCCCAGCACCATGCTTGCCTACCTCCACCCCTCCACGCCCCCATGGCTGCTCTCACCTGAGATGCTAAGCCCACGGCGGAACACCTGATACATTGTCCTGGCATCATCATAGTAGTGGGTGAGCAACTGAGGGCCATCCCCAATGACAGATCGCCGGGCCCCACCACTGTCCTGCAAGCCAAGCACAGGCCAGAGAAGCTGGCTGAGGCAGGCAGGGCCATCAGGAGGGCACGCCAGCACACACCAGGCTGTAGGTACCTTGCATGCACACCCAGGCCACATGGTTGGGGCTGAGAATGCTCTGTATACACTCACACACATGGCCTACACACACCTGGACTGGACACGCACTACTTCTATACCTGTTCACGTATGTGTAGTGGGTACACACTCGACCGGTGGGCATCCAAACTCAAACATATCTGGCTCATGCACACAGTGCTCACACACCTGGTCAGCACACATAAAGTGTCTAAAATCTCAGTTACTGTTCATACTCACCGAAGGTTCACTCATCCAACATGATGGGGAGACATGGCAGAGTCAGGCTTCCTCCTGGCATCAGCACCCATGTGCCAAGACGGCCCCATCCATCTGCTGCTCCTAGGCCCTTCTGTTAAGAACCATTTGGGTGCCACCCCTCATTCACATAACAGCGTGAATTAGTTGAAGGACTGGCTGAAGGTACTCTCCCAGGAACACACCTGGCCCTGCCATGGCTACTGTTCTACGCACAAATTGGCCATTTCTCCCTGTACTGAAAACCCAAAATAAACCCGATCCCCAGGGCTCCCTGCCCAGGTCACAGGGCTTTGTCCTTGCTGGGCTCTGCAGGGGAGTTGTGATCACAGGCTCACCCAGCACAGCCAGCCTTAGTGCCTTCTCTGTGCCATACCCCCAAGGCCTTACTGAACCCCAGCAAGCGGGGGCTCTTTATCACTAACTCGGCATTTAAGGAAACTGAGGCCCAGGGAGTGAAGAACAGCCCAGGATCATAGAGCCAACAGGAGGCACAACCGACTTCCAAACCTACAGCTGCCGGTCACCACAGCCCTTCCTATCACCGCGCTGCTAGCCCATCTGCAGCCAGGCTGCACTGCATGTGATCTCCATTTCCTAAAGCCACACGGTGCATACCTGTACCTTTGCAAACATCATTCCTTCTGCTGGGAAAATGCCCTGAAGACCCCAGCCCTATCTTGACCTGTGCCCCCTACCACCAGGCAAAATCTTGCCAGGCTTAGGAGCAGTGAGACGATAAAGACGCCAAGATTATCAAGGGCAAAAAGCAACACGCTGACCCATGTATGCAGAGAGACAACGTTTAAAGGGGGGCCAGGTATCTGCACACACTCACTTGTGGACAGTCATGAGCATGGTTCTAAGGGGGAGAAGTGGGAGGCTTTGCAATCTATGTCTTTTCCTTTTGAACTGTGTGAATATATTATTAATTCAAAATGAACAAATACATTAAAGTTCAGAAAAAAGGCAATTTTTTAAAAAGGCAAAATAAATCCCATAAGCTTAATAAAGAAATCTCACCAGTCCTTCTAGACTCAGCCTGGAGACTCTTGCCTAGCCTGGGCTGCTGCACCTTTTCCTGTTGGCAGCTCCACCTGAGAGTCGGTGTGCTCTGGGGGGCAGGGCCCCGGGGTGGGCCCAGCTCCGAGTCCCGGCTCCACACCAAGGCTGGGCACAGGGAGGGAACTTACCTGGCAGCCCCTGGAGAACCTGCTTAGGCCTCCCTACTGGGGCACCAATGAGCCAAGGCTGCCCACCCGGGAGGCCCAGAGCAAGGCCACAGCCAGGCTCTGCCTGGGGCTCAGTTCCTGGGAGGAGCAGGGGCACCCGGTAGAAGCCCCTGCCCAAGGCCATGGGGACCCACTGGCCCACCGCTGGGGAAACAGATTCTCTGGGCTGTTTAAGGTCAAATAAGCCACAAGTTTGGCTTCTACCTTCAAGATACCCGTCTCTGCCCACTACTTCCCAGAGCCCAGCCACTTGCACCCCACTCACCTCCACTTCTTCTGACTGCATCAGGAGGTTGCACGGTGGTTGTAAGGCCTTTGGCCGGTGCGTGAACCAGTAGGCGAGGATGGCAGCCAGTGCCCCCATACCCACAAGGGTGGTGGCTGAGAGGCTGCGGAAAAACTGGCCCAGGTCACCCAGCTCGGGCAGCCGCAGCATTCTCAGGATCTCCTGCACCTGCATCTTCTCCAGAAGTGAAAGGATGAACTCTGTAGGGACAAGAGCAGTGAAAGAAGGGCCTGAGGGCAGGCTAAGGAGTCCTCAGCCCTGGATCACAAGTGACCCACCAGCCTCAGCCAGGCCCTGGTGACACACACTGCAGGGCAGGCCCCAGGTGAGCCGGGTGCACAGTCTCCTGGAGCCACACGGGGTATCCCAGAGGCTGGCTGCCTGGGAGGGGCTCTCCCAGGGCCAGACCAGGACCCCTGGCATCATAGCTGACAGACATCTGGCCCAGTTTTCCTGAGAACCATGTGCTCAGGCCTGGGCCATGGCTGACAGACGCTTCCATGGCTTCCAGTGCCCGGGGCACGCTCTGACAGCTCCGGGGTTACTGCCCCTGAGCCCCAGGGCCTGCGTGCTTTGCCTCTCCTGTGCGGACGGTGTGTGGCACATCCGTGTCCCTGGCATGTGGAGAAGACAGAAGGACAGCAGACATGCCGAGCACACTGCCCTGGAGGAGGGTGGGTGAGGGATGCAGGCTCCTCCCACTGCACCACAAAGCTCCCAGCCCCAGGGGAGAAGGGAAGGGGGCAGGGCCCACAGACCAGCCCCCACAGACACCTCCAGCCCTCATGACAGGAGGACTAGGACCGATCTGACAAGGGTCAGTGGGTGACCCAGGGCAGGTCCCCCAGACCCACATCCTGGCCCACCAGGGGCTCTGCTCGGAGAAAGTTTAGAGTCAAAGGCCTGACAGGACCAGAGGTGATCTGGGGTTGCCTTTCTGAGGAACAGCAGAGACCCTAAGAGCAGCCAGGGTGGGGGCAGGCCCTGCTCCCTGGCTCCAGGCTGCTGACCAATGTGCCCCGTGGCTCTGCACACCCAGGAGGCACAGCTGCCTACCATTAACTGGGCCCTGGGAGGCACTCCCGGGACCCCCTCAACTAAAGTCCAGAGGAAAAGCATGTGGCAGTGGGGAGCAGATATTCAAGGTTCTGAGAGAAAGAACTCAGCAAAGCTGTATGTGCATTCCAGGGGTAATCAGCATCTCTGTGACATCACAGATGGTGTTCAGGGTGCATGCTTACCTGCCACAGCCCAAGTGGATGAAGGGGCCTGTCAGGGGAACACAGAGGATGCCCTGGGGTGGGCAGTGGGAGTGTTCCTGTGAGAAGTACTGGCAACTGACCTTGATTCAAAGAGAGCAGAGGCTACCGTGTCCTCCCGCCAGCCGCTAAGTGAAGCAGCGCTGGCAGGGCAGACAAAGGGCCAGCTGGGCTCCGGGCTCTGCACTTGGCCCAGGGCTGGGGATGGTGGCAAGGGAGGGCTGGCGCTGGACGCTGCTGTCCTCACCAGGGCCTCCTGGGTATCGCTGCCCAGTAGGGCCTGAGGCTGCAAGTGCCGCATGACACCTACAGATCTGCCAGCCTCATGAGGGCTGGGTGGGCTCCCGGCCGCCAGCACCTTCCACCGGCACCCTCCTCACCCACCCTTGACCTTTGGAAGCATGGCTGTGATTCCCTTCTCAGAAAACAATGAGAAACCCAACAGTGGCCACTCAAACAGCAGCTGCTTGACCCCCATTTTTCCACAGAGAAAATGAGCCCCTAAGCAGCCCAATCATTCTCACTGAGTTCCTGAGCCGGAAACCCACCTTTACCAGGAGCCTCCTTGAACTGGATCAGTCTGAGGCCATCCCACAGGAATGAACCACTCAGGAATCCTGATCACACTGTCCCATGTCAGAAAAGCACAGGCCCAGCTAGGGACCCCAGTGAGTTCACCAAGGAAAACCACTCTGGGGAGGACCCCAGGCAGGCAGCCAGTTGGCTTCCCCAAGCTACAGTGGGGAGACCAAGTCACAGCCAGGCCTCTCAGATACTCACGAAGGAGCAGAAGATCGGCTCTTGGGGTGGGCTCTGAGCTGACTGGCATTTCCTCTAACGGAGCCCTGGAAGGCTCCCTCACTGTCACCCGGCCCCGGGCCTTGGCAGCCGCTCACAGGCCCTCAGCTGCTGCAGCCTGTGAGTGTTTGTGGCAACGGTGGGGTTTTCACAAACCTCAGCACAGAATGGCCAAGTCACCCATCCACGTGTGTACCCACCCACCCAGCCATCTAGCAGGCCCTTCTAGCTCAGCGCTGGGCACTGGAACAAGCCAGATGGGCAGCCGCCATCCGTCCCATGGGGAGTCACCAGATAGCAGGCAGTGCCATGCAGTGCGGCCAGGGCTGTGAGCCCATGCCCGACCCAGGTACGCAGAGTCAGGGCAGGCCTCTGCCTGGGAGGAGTATGGATGCTGAGACTGGAGGATAGAGAGGAAAGGGTGTCCTAACCAGAGGGAAGCAAACATATAAGGGCTAGAGTTGAGAGCAAGCCCGGAGCACATGGAGAACTGAGTATTCTACATGAGAATAGTCCTGAGCCCATGAAATATCATGCAAAGGGTCAGGGCCACAGTCTGTGAGGGTGGCCTCCTACAGGAGCTAAGCTTTCAGAAGTCAAAGAATCACAGTCCCCACGAGAGGGAAGAACAGAACTTGGCTAAACTGTCTGAATTCCTGGTGCCCAGAGGCTCTTGACTACATGCTGCACTGTTTGACCCTCAGAACTGCTCCATGGACTCGTGATAAGGTGGGGACACAGACATCCCACTGAAGATGTTACCCACCTACAGGTACACAGTGGGCAGCTGGGGGAGCCAGGACTCAAGCCCAGACTACAGCTCCCAACTGGGCCTGTGCTGTACCGACACCACCTGCCACCACCACTGGGCTCTCCAGACCCACAACCTGTCCTCTCCTCTGTGGGTGCTGAACCCACAGAAAGCCAGCCCCAGACCTGCCCAGAAAGCCCCAGGCCCAGGATGCATGGGCAAGGGAGCAATACAGCCTGGAAGGGGAGAGTCACTGTTCTTCACCACGCAGACACTGCTGTGGGCGCCCTGCTGGCCTCCCCCCGAGGACCCACCTCTTGTCACGGCTGGGTCCTCCTCCAGGAAGCCCACTCACCTGAGGCAACGGAGGGCAGTGGGAAAAGGCCAGGCTGCCCACCCGCTCCTCTTCAGGCTCCTGCTTAGCTGCCCACCCCCAGGGAGGCATCCGGAGTGACGGCGCCTCCCCGCCCCCTCCCAGGTTAGGCAGTGACCAGACAGGGTCGTTCTCCCAGGCACGGACCTCAGATCTTTAGGGCTGCTCTCATGTACCCTCAGATTCCCTTCAGACCTGGAAGCCACTGCTGGGCAGCGCTGCAAACTCAGGTCCTCTGAGGACATGGGCCTCCGAGCCAGCCCACACCACCAAACCCCTGGCTCGGGGCGGGGTGGGGCCCAGGCCCAGAGTGTGCTCTCCCCTCAGGAGGGCACAGGGCCTCAGCCTCCTCTGACCTCCACTCCCTCCCCGTGGGCCCGCGGTGGCGCTCGGTGGTCCCTGGGCTCCCGGCCTCAGCTGGTCCCATCCTGCCTCGGAGGCTCTACGGTTGCAGCAGCATGGGGCTCAGCATCGGGGGGGGGGGCCCCAGGGGTGTCAGTGGGGCTGGTGTTGCCAAGTGAGCAGCGTGAGTGTTTGTAAATATTCACCTGGCAGGAGGACACAGTCCTCAGCACCAAGTAGCCTCCTCTCCTCCGGCATATCCTAGGCTTCTTTCCCTCCAGCACAGACCAGCTCAGAGCACTAAGGGTGCCACAGGCTGGAGGGACTGGGACCCCCGCCACCCCACCTAACCATGTCCTCTGCTGATTCAGGGCACAAGAACGGTGGGTGGGGAGAGCTCTCAAAACCCAGGAAAGGAGAGATGGAGGAAGGGGACCCCTGTGGGGGGTATACTGGCTCCAAGGTGGCAGGGTGGCAGAGGCTGACCCCCGGGTACAGGTCCTGTGCGGAAGGCCCTGGGGCCCATGGCAGGGCTCCGAGACCTCTGTGCTGGTCCAGCCTCCTAACCCCACCTTCTAGACTTTCACAGTCTAGCCAGAGGGCTCTGCCAGGACAACCTCTTAAACCTCTCTCAAATCTGACCATGCCTGACACTCCTCTCCACACCCACAGCCCCTGGGCTGGTGCAGCCACCACAAAGTTGAGTCCAGCCTCCCCTCTAACTGATTACTTTTGCTTACACTGATACCAGTGTTATTTTCCCGATACATCTAGGTGACCATATCATGCCCTGCTAGAAAACCTTACCTGGCTCCTTACAACCTAAGGACAAAAGTCCAAACTCATCATGTTGGCACTGAGGCCTTCCATGATCTTGTAGTCTTTCTTCCCTTAGAATCACCCCAATTTCCTTCTGTATATGCCTGAAGTGGGGCAGGGTTATTACAATGGGGTTCTGGGTCTCTGCAAACATCGGAGGCCTTCAGAAACCGTGGCGAACTATGAGACAAGCCATCAGATCATGAAAGAACCTCCTTGCCTCCGGCGAGGAGCTTCAAAGAGAAAACACCACCTCTGCAGGCCCAGGATGCCCAGCAGATAATCTGGGGAAGGGCCCAAGGGGGAACTCTGGCGCTGCGCTGCGTGGAGCTGGGGCCGGACCCTGACTCAGCCCTCTGATGGCTGAATGACCTTGGACTACTTACTTCATCCCTCTGGGCCTCCTCTCAAACAAGGACATGGACAGAGGGTGGGGCCAGGCCCGCAGTAAAGGAAACACTCAGTAGATCTAACAGTCAGCTGGAGAGCTTGCTCCATTTCTTTGGAAAGGTGCCAAAAGACAACTTGCAAACGTCCATGCATTCACAGCCTACCTTCCAGCGGGCTCCTGGCTCGAACCAGCCTCCCTTCTAAAGGGCGTGTGGGGTTCAGGGAGAGAGCTTACCACATCTTGGTCAAAGCACAGCAGCGGCGAAGGCCCCGCCCGGAGCCTGGCTGCCTGGGGACAGCGATGCAACCGCCTGCTCTGGGAAGCTGGCTGGTGGGGGAGGTGTGAGCAGCGGTGGGAGAGGCTCCCGGAGGCTGTGGGAGCAGCTCTGGCAGGGCCCTGGGCGCAGAACACTCTGAGGAGCTGCTGGCCACTCAAGGTCCCCGCTGGCCCCCCTCCATCTGCTCACTGGGCAGCGCTGGTGCAGAGCAGCTCACAGCCGAGCAACCCAGCCTTAACCCCCACTCTGCCAGGTTACCATAGCCTCATCTCACGCCCCTCGGCGTCTGCCCCCACCCCCACCTTGTCTTCCGTCCTGGACAGGAGTTTGCCCAAAGGGGTTGCTTAAGGACAAAGCCTCTTTACACCTCCATCTGCTACACTGATCAGGGGCCAGGGCTTCTGCCTTGGGCTGGGGACCTGCAGCCAGCTTGAGAGGTCGGCGTGGCAGGAGGAGTGGGGAGTGAGGGTGGGGGGCCGGATCTCTGGGACTGTGGGAGGCTGGCACCGACCCCAGGAGGCCCCCAGCCCCTCCCAGGAGCCACTTCCACTCCACTCCCCACAAGGTCACAGCCCGGTCTGTGTCTGCTTCGGGGGAGGGAGGAAACCGGGCGCAGCCCCAGGGGGAACATCCATGCTGAGATGCTCTCCACGCCCCTCCCAGCAGCCTGTGGGGCCGGGCCGGCAGGTGGGCCTCACTGGCTCATCTCCTCCACCAGACCCCAGGGTGGCACACAGCCCCCCCTGAATGCCTGCCCTGAGAGCCCTGTGTCCTGACTTTTGGCCATCCTGGTGCCAGCATCCACACCTGGCCTGTGGGGACCACAGCTGAGCTCTGAGACCCTCAGCACCTCTGGCAGACAGACTGGGACCCTGAGGTTCCAGGGCCTCCCAGGGCCCCACTCCTGCAGGGTCTGTCTCCACATGGCAGAGGGGGGTGGGGGGCAGGGACCAGGTCTGGCCTTTTGCTACTTCCACTTCCATGACTAGCATGTGGCTGGGCACACAGTAGGCACATGGTGGCCACTGCTGCCAAGTAAAAGGCAAATCCTCCAGGCCACGGGACACAGCCCACCACCTGCCAGGCCCTAACCACAACTAGCATTCCTGAGTCTGCCAGGATGGGGCCACTATCCCTCCAAACCCAGTCTACGTCCTCATCAGTGAGACTGTCCCAACATGACCCAGTGCACTGGGCCACCTCTTGAGAGCTGTCTGCACATCCTGAGTGGCAACTTTAGAGCCCACAGGCCTTGTAACACCTTCCCTGGGGCTGAGAAAACCTCCACTGCTCACCCCACCACCTCGAGCAGCCGTGTGGAAAGCTTCCGGGCTGGGCAGCCCACACCTGGAACAAGGCATGGGATTACCTGAGCACAGGGGCCCCAGCCTCCCATAGTCCATGCAGAGGAAGCTTTAAAATGCATAAATGCTTGAGAACTTAGCTTCAGCTACCAAACCCATTCCTCTTCCTTCTTGACTGGACCCCTACTTTAGACCTCTTCAGAGATATTTTTAAGACAAAAGGTTTCCCTAACGCTTCTCAGGCCCCCTTTGGGCGGCCATGATCTAGGTCCTGGCCAACAGAAACCACACATGGCACCAGGGGCAGGGAGCCATGGAAGCAGCAACACCACAGGAAGCATGCAGCCCAGTCACCAGGTTAAGGACAGCAGAAGTCTCGCCATCATACCTATGTGACCTGCAGAGATGCAAGCACAGCAGCCCACACTTGGCCCAGCAGCCACCCCATCCATCCAGGGGTTTGCGCTTATTTCTCTGGTGAGAGAGGGGCCTTTCCCCCAGCCTTCTCTTGGGTTTTAATTAGAGACACAGAACCACAGGTGATTGGGACAGAGATGGGGCCCAGGGCCTCCCTGCCTGGGGAATCGCCAGGTGAGACCCACAGCACATCCCCTGTGAGAGACAGGCCAGGTTGCTGGGTTACGCAGCAGCTCACCTAGCCAGCCTCTCCAAGGAGCCTGATTATGGCTCTGAAGGTTCAATTAAACCCCTAGAACATGAAAAGGCCCAACTAAGGTGGGCTGTGCCCGAGCACCGTGCAGGGCCACCTGTCCAGGCTAGCCTGGACTCACTGTGAACAGGCCTCTCTCTCCGGCTCACTCGGGCAGGAAGCAGCCCTTGCTGCTCTCTGGCTCCCTTTCTCGTGTCAGTACCTCTCAGGAAGCACACTCACCCAAGCCCTGGTTGGGAACGCAGGCCCACATTCTCAACAACAGCACCAGAAAGCCAGGCTCAAACACTTTCAGGAACTTAAAGATACAAATAGCCTTGAGAACAGAGGCGCAAACAGAAACAGTGTCTCTCATGAGCTGAGATAAATGTCCTCAGCCCGACAAAATGCTCAGAGCAGAGAAGGGCCTGACACAAGCAGTGGTCCCTCTGGAAGTGGCGAGGGGGTCCAGCAGCCAGGTCTGAGGGCATAGATGAGCCTCAGCCCGTGGCCCTTCCTTCCACACCACACCCTGGGTCAGCAGTCAGGACCCAGGGACACTGGCTGGGGCTATGAGCACCACACAAGCAGAGGGACACCCACTAGCTGGGCCCCACCATGCAGGAGCCGGATCCCGGGGCTGCAACATGACCCTCTCCCATCCCAGCCAGTCCCCGTTAGGACGCAGTGTCCTGGCCTCAGGTGCAGGATCCTTTCCCATCACTGGCCCAAACTGAGGACACACCACATACCCGAGGGGTTCAAGCTCCTGGCAGGGCCGCCCTTGCAGAGTTCAGCTGCAGATGGCTGAGGTACAGGCAGGATAGGACTCCAGAGGTCAGACACGCTGCTTTTCTGACATGCCAGGGTTACCAGGACCTCCTCCCATCAGGGGGGAGCTCCTTAAAGTAGGGAGGGTCCTGCTAAGATATGGCTGAGGTCACTGGGGTTGAGAAGTGAGAGGGATTGGCTTGCCCGTTGGTTCACCCAGGAGCACCTGGGGACACCTGCTCAGAGAGAAAGCACCAAAAACAGAACCTAAGACACATCCTGAGTCTGGGGATGGGGGAATGAGGAGAGGCGCAGCAGCAGGACGGGGAGGAATGTTCTAAGAAGGGGTCGGAGTGGCAGAAGTGGGCTGGCAAGTCTTGGGAAGAGCCTGTAAGAAGCCAAGGCTCCTGGGAAGGAGGCAGGGGCGCTTGCCCTGAAGCCTGGGGCAAGAAGCTGAGGCTGGGCAGAGGCATTCAGCTGCAGAAGGAAGAGAGGCTGGTGCTGTGTATATGCCCCATGCCTTTGCAGCCCCAGCCCCGAGCTAATGGCGCCCACCGCTCACCTGACCTAGGGCCTGGGTTTATGGGATGCCAAAGAGCCCCAGGCAAGTGGTGTCCCTAGATGCCCACCCGAGGGGCTGCTCCTGCAGCCCAGAGCCAGCATGGGCCCTGCACCCACCGTTCCTGGTGCCATCATGTTTTCATGGGGTAGATGAGGGGCAAAGAAAAGAGAGCTTTGTCTATGGTTAAAGGTCAATTTTCCAGCAAATTTGATAAACAGCTTAATTTTCTGGCCTCCCCAGACTGTGACAAAATTCCTCTTCTGAATGTCACAAGAAGAAACAAATCTGAATTTCACTCAGTTCCACGGAAGGCCGTGCCTGTCAAGGGGACCCTGCCACCTCTTGGATCCTCCCTCTGGAGGCCAGGGCCAGGCAGCAGCTGCTGCCTCTCACCACCCCCGGGGCTGCCAAGCCCTGATGGGCCAGTGAGAACCCTTGGCAGTGAAAGGGTCAAGGCCCGGCTCAAGAGCCCAGCCCTCAGCTGGGTAGGGAGCTGGAGAACTCAGGCCTCCTTTCCAAGGCCAGGATGAATGGGGACTATGCAAATGACCACCTCCCGAGGAGCGGAGAGACTGGGGAGGGCCTGCTGCTGGCAGGCTCGCATCTCTCCACTCTGAGCCTGTCACATGAAAGGGTTTATATTCCTGCGGCTGGCTCAGGCGCCAGGCCCCGGCTGTTCTCACTGGAAAACAAAAATCTCTTTCAGACCAAAGCCAAACGAGGCCCTGGCTGCCCCAGGAAAGCTGCTGGACGTTGCTTACAATGACCCACCAAGAGCACCCACCACTTGGATTTTCACTGGCCCCACCCCCTGCCGGAGGGAGCCGAGGCCTCTGTGGCCTGGGGAAGGCCCTTAGGTCAGGGTGGGCGGGACCAGCCCCTCCTGGCTGAGGCTCTGTTGGTTTGGACTTCTACAAAAACAGTAATGGCTGGATGTGAGGCAGCACCCTTTTAAGTAAGGGAACTTTGGTAATGCTCATGGTGTTGGTAGTAAACATGGAGAAAGAGACGGGAAGAAACCGTGATGGGAAACAGCAGGCTTTGCAGTGCATAGAGAGGACTGCTGAGAAGGAAGACTGTATGTGTCCTCTGCCGGCGGAGCACAGTGCAGCTGCCCCAGGAGCCCTGGGGCTGTGGGTGGGGCTATGATGGCCCAGAGCCCAGTTTGCACCATGACCAGCTTCTGGGACACTCCTCAGCTTGGACTCCATACCCAATAGAGGGACCATGACAAAGTCAGACTTAGATTTTGTTCAGACTCCAGAGGTCAGACACACTGATTTTCTGACATGCCAGGGTTACCAGGAGCTGTCCATGAGCCACAGATGTTACCTGTCCTCTCTGGAGCACAGATGCTACTCAGACTCCCATTAACAGGAGACAGTGACCTCAAAACCCATGTGGTCGTGTAGCCTGAGAAGCAATCTGGGGCAGAACCACTTCAGGAGCTGATTCTGGACCCACAGGAGGCTTGGTGGGTGCTCTGCAGATGCCCTGTAAGTGAGGGAAACAGGCCCTGTGGGTCTCTCAGCCTAAAGAAAGTACCCACACCTGATGCCTCCCTTCTCCAGTCTTCCTACCCGGAGATGGGCCATGAACTATGTCCAAGTCTCTGTAAGAGTTCAAGTAGCTGCCCTGGGGAGGAGAAGCACGAGGCAGAGAAAGGAACCTTCAGTCCAGATGGAAGGGGGCTTCCCAGGCCACAGCCTTCCCTGACCCATGGCAAGGAGATCAGGGACCTATGTACTGAAACCGCCCACCAGCCTGCTGGCTAAGGGAAGGCCCACCCTCCATTTCTATCCACCCCAGGCAGAGCCAGGCTTTGGGAGAACCTGCAGGCAGGATGGGGCACTCAGTAACTGTGCGG